AACTGGGTCACTACTGGATACTCGAAGGTCTTCGGAGAGCCCTCCCAGCATAGATCTTCTTTCCCTCCTATCTGAAATACCCACTTCCCTGCTCCTACCAATGGTCCTATTTACAAGTCAGTGTCTGTCTCCAGGAGCATCCAGCAGCATCTCCAGCACAGAAAGACACCCCTGCATCCCTGCGCCCTACACGACACCATGCACAGGGCCTGGTGTGCAGGCGCCCTTGGGGACTGGGGGCTGAGGGAGAGTGGGATCCTAGCTGGCGTGCTGCATCTCCTTGCCCCAGTCTCCAGGCTGTGAGTTTTTAGGGAACACCCAAAACGGGAGACACCATCCTCAGCCATTGTTGCCACAGGAAGAGAATCTTACTGGTGCTACTCAGGTTGGAGAAGAATTCTCTGTCCCCAGAAACCTTGTGCCACCCTGCAGTGTCCAGCTACAAGAAGCCAGGCCTTTCCCTGGCTCAACAATCACTATGATAAACCACTCTGTTGATGGAACACTTTCCGTGTACCAGCTTTGTGCCTAATGCTCAGCCACCCACAAGAAATGCCCCCCAAAATGTGCATTGCTGGCATCACCCTCCGCCAGCCTGTGCAAGTGCACTTTAATAGTCAGCAGCAGCCCCACAAGTGGCTCCATCGTTTGAGACCAGTTTATTGGGCGGCTACTATATGTTAAGCCCTGTGATGGGTGCAGGAAAACCCCTATGAAGCAGACAGAAGCCTGGGCCTCACCTCTGCTTCTGCTCTGACTAATAAGAGAGCCATAGTCAAGCTTGCGATTCGAATTTCAAAGCCAGTGGGAATCAGTGAAGCAAGCTAGAGGTGTGTGAAACTCAGTTCTGCCTGTGATGACAAGGCCCTTGACCCAAGCCTGACATGTAGAGAAAGCCACAGAAGACATGGAGGAGTGTCAGTGTTAGCTAGTGCTGTGTAACAAGCTACCCCTAAACTCAGTGACTGACACAATCAACACTGTGTACTGTGTATAAGTCTGGCTTGCTGGGAGGGCTATTCCACAGTGTCATGTGAATCCAGGTGGCATTTAGGTGTTGTTGGCTGTTGTCTGGCTCAGGTTGGGTCACCTCGTCATAGTCACCAGTCCTCTGGGGCCTCTCTCTATGTGGCTCTCCTCAGCAGGGTACCTGGACTTCTTCAGGTGCCACTGACTTCTAGGACGGGAAGAGATACTGGCCTCTAGGTCTAGGTGCCACACAGTGTCACATCCACCACATTCTATTGGTGAAACCACCCATCCAGCCAGCGTAGAACTGAGGAGAGAGGACATTAACTCCACCTTGTGGTGGGAGAATAGGTAAGGTCATGAGGCAAAAGGGAGTCGGGGGTTGGTTGAGATGCCTTGTGGGAAGGCTGCACCACCGTGGAGGTAGGAAGACACCTTAGGTAATAGTGTAGCCATGACTTCAGGTTTACCCTGGGCCCAGGGCCCAGGACAATCCGGCTCTTATCTTAACTGCTAAACCATGTTGCCACTTTGAATAGATCCTCTCTGAGCCTCAGTTTCCTTCTGTAAAATGGGAATTATATAATGTATATAAAGGGCATAGCCAGTGCCTGTCACATGGTCAGCTCTCAGGAAGTGAATGTTGTGTTTGTTGTTGATGATATAGAAGCTCAGAGCTGTAGGCCCCTCTAGTCTGCCCAGTCCATCCTCCAGGCTTCAGAAGAGAGCCAAGTCTCCAGCTGAAGTCTAGAGTCTTGGATGTGAATCCTGCTTCTGCCACCAACCACCACCAACCAGCCTTGGGCACCCACTTGTAAGGGGACAATCTGTGCCATGTTGCAGTGAGTGGTGCTCCGAGGAGGGTCATTCAGACATAAACCCTCCTTCGGAGGTACTTCCCCTTTAGCCAAACAGTTCAGGAGTGAAACAGCGTTGTTGGAGAAGGGGTGTGGTGAGCCAGAACTCCTGAAGTCCCTGAACCCTCAACCTCCCCATCTTGTCTTGCTGTGTTTTCTGTATGTGTGGGTAAATATCACCCCAACTGGGGGAAAGAAGTGACAGCACAAAATGAGACAATGAGAAGTGAGCCAGAAGAGAAATGGGGGAGTCGACAAGCCAAGGTGATGAGGTATCAGCAAGTGAGGGAAGGGAGACTCAGGGAGATTGACAGCTGCAACCTACCTGTTCAGAGCCCCCTCAGGAAAGAGAGCAACCAACAGTAATGCCTCCCATTTCTGCAGTGCTGTGTTGCTTGCAAAATTCTGTCACCTATGTGGTATCATTTTGTTCTCTCAACATCTCTGTTTGGGGATTCTTGTTTTAGTCCATTTTCTGTTGCTATAAGGCATCGCCTGAGACCACGTGATCTCTAAAGAATGGAAGTTTATTCGGCCCGCAGTTCTGGAGGATGGGAAGTCCAAGAGCACAGCGTGACATCTGTGAGGCATCTGGTAAAGGTCTCATGCTGCATCAGGACATGGCAGAGGCAGACAGTACCATGTCATCAATGCTAAGGCCTGGGATTTTTCAAGTGGAAACTTTTCTCACCTGCATCCAGGAGTGGAGAGAGACAGAGAGCGAGTGAGCAAGAGAGAATCAGAGAGAGTCAGAGACAGACACAGACAAGCAGAGAAAGAGAAAGATAAAAGATAAAATGGACATAGTGAGAACAAAAAGCAGAGGAACAATACAGGAGAGAATGAAAACAGAAAGGAGGGGAAATTATACTGTTGGAAAAACTGAGATGGCAGAGAAATGAGGAAAGGGAAAAATATGTTAGGGGGAAGGGAAGAAGTCAGAGTGGAGAAAGCTTCTGTGACTCCTTGAGGATGCCGTCTTTCCTCCTATCCTGGAAGCCTCTGAGAAGGACTTGGGGCTCCAGCTCTCCAGGGATAAGCGTGTCCCCTCCTGGAAATGCTCCCTCTGGCTCATAATCCCCAAACGGCTTCAGAAACCAGTATGTAAACTGAGTCCTGGGGGCTGTCCTCCTCCCTGGCAGCCCTCTGACTCTGTATTCCCACTGGCACGCTGGCCGGTGGCCTGGGCCTCTGCCCCAGCAGCTGTTGTCATTCACTGAACCGCACCCCAGCAATGGCAAGCAGTGGCCCCAGCAGCTTCCCTCTGAAGATCTCTTGCCTCTGCCAGTCGCTTTACCTTGAAATGACTTTGCTGTCACCCTTGCATCCACTTAATTAAGCCACCGTGCAGTGCCCCTTCCCTCCAATGTGCCATCTTCACCGTTATCTGTTCCTCCCATTCCTCCCCTCCTTCCAGTGCCAGAACCCACCCTCAGCCCCTCAGGACCTGGCACTCCTACTCCCTTACCCCCAAGGAAACCTAGTCCCCAAGAACCCTCCAGTACTCTCCCCTCAGCCCACAACTAATGAGTTGGGCCCTCTAGAGCTGCCTTATTTCCCTGCAGCCCCATACCAGTAATTTCATTAAGGAAACTGCACGCTCTGCCGAGCTGCTCAAGGAATCAGACAGCAGGAGCTGAAGCTGCGTAATGAGGCCTGTGGGCCAGCGGTGCCTTCCCCCAGCCCCCCTCATCCAACCTTCCCCACACAGCCCCTCTCCCCACCTCACCGTGGACCCTCCCTCCCAGGAGTCACCCTCCACCTCACGCCCACATCAGGAGACCTGCCTGGCCCTGAAGGGAGGTGACAGGACGGAAGGTGACCCTGGGAAATGACCTTCCAAGCTGGCCCTCCAAGTCCCCAGTCTGGGAGAAGGAAACCGGGCTTGGAGAATGGAAGCAGAGCTCTCTGTTTCACCACCTCTCTAAGCCCCAGTTCCTGTCTGTGAGGAGGAGAAGGCATTACCGGATGCTGAGGCTACTGTAGACTTAATAAATGAATGCACATGAAGACTACAGGCCCCTGCAGAATGAACAGTGCCCTATAAATGGCACCTATCATTATTATCACTACTATTCTTTAGCACTGGCCTATGGAACAGTTTGAATTGGGTGGGATGTAAAAAGGAAACCTAAAAATAAAAAGTCACTGTGTTCCACCTGCTCTGTCACTGTCAAAATCCTTCTGATGCTCCTGGGCCCTCGGGTCAGTTTGGCTATCCAAAGTCCAGCTCAGCAGAAGGACATGTGCTGCAGTCAGCACCTGCCACCCCTGGCCTTGCCTCCTCTCGTGCCTGTGGCCCTAGACACGCAGTGGCAGGACTTTGCTGGGGCCTCCTGTCCTCTCCTGACTCCACTGGGATTCCGGAGTGTGGTCCCATTCTGGGTTTCTGCCGCAGACTTGGCCCCTCCTTGTGGTGTGCTGGCTTCTCTGACAAGCTCTGGGAGACACCAGCATGGCAGACCTGAGAACGCTGGTTCCTGTGTGGGCACTGGGTGGTGGGTCCAGTGGGACACCTCAGCTGCCTGCCTGGCATGGAGCCCAACCTAGGAGACCTGGCTCCACCCACCCCGGCTTCTGCCACTTCCTCTGAGCTGAGCCCCTCGTCTCCTGCAGGCAGCCCTTGGAGAGGGTGTCCTCAGGCTTGACCCCCCTTGGCCCACAGAGCACAAGGCACATTTGTGCCACATTCCACAGGTGTGTGCCCGGCTCTTGCCCTGAAGTGTCTGGTGGGTCTCCTGAGGGGCTTGGGAACAGATCTGCAGTCCAGTGCCAGGCTGTGCCTCTGGGAGTTCGCATGTGGCTGGCTGCCTTGCAGATAGCTAATCTCTATGAGCTGGTTCTACTGTCCCTTCTGCTGTCTTAGTTGTTCCAGAAAGGAGGACAGACACTGGGAACAACAGAGGAGCGTTGCATTTGGGAGTCAGAGGTCCCGGTTAGGTCTGGTTTTCCCACTCGCCATACGAGCCTGGCAGCTCCCCAAAGCTCTCTGGGTGCCATCTGTGAGCAAGGCTGAACAGCAGTACTCTCTCTACAAGGTGGCCATCAGAACCGGGAGTCCAGGTGTGCATACTTTGCCCCTGGGAGCCCTGGGCCCATGTGAAGAACTACTCCATTCCCTGTACCCCCTAACTGCTGTTTTACCCGAGATCACAACTATCCCTCTTTCCTTAGACATTCCGGTGGCCAGTGGCCAGCAACATTGACAGAAATGAGATGCTGGAGATCCAGATTTTCAACTACAGCAAAGTCTTCAGCAACAAGTAAGTGTGGCATGGACCCTACTCCTTGGGCTACCCTCTCTTTGGGCCTTGAAACAGGGACATGTACCCCAGTCTTTCCTGGATGAAACGCTGAAACCAAAGAGGACTCGGGCTGGTCTTCACTCCCCATTCTTCTCTGTCATGGTGTCATCACAGCACCCTGGCCCTCCCCACTCTTGCTAGATAAGGGTGCTCCACCCTCCCATCCCCCCTTTGTCCCCAGACCCATCAAAGTTTCCTGTCCCTTTCTTTAAGCTCCTCTCTAAACCATGCTGGGGACAGTAACCCATCCAAGAAGCTGAGGGTGGGATGGCTGACTGCACCCTCTCACAGACCATTAATGGGTTCAATATACTCATGTGAGAAAAAGATAAGTATTTGTCTGTAACAGCAACTGTGAGAATTGGATGAGACAGATTCATTATTCATTCAACAAATGTTTACTAAGTGCTTACTGGGTGTCTGGCAGGAGAGAGAGGTGCCTGCCTTCGTGAGGCTTTTCATTTGTGAATGAAGTACACTCATCAGTGTTATCACTACAGACGTTCAAAGTACTTTCCATCCTGCTCTCTCAGCAACAAACAGGATCCAGAAGGATATCAATAATCTAGGATAATAGCTAAATTTAAGAAATGTAAAGTCTCATCTTGGGTTAAAAATTAATTTCTCTTAGGAAAGCTGGAGGAAGTCAAGGCTGAACTGCAGTGTGTCCAAGGGGGCATGGAGGTATTAGCTCATTCATTCATCCATTTGTCCATCCATTCATCCATCCATCCATTCATTTACTCCCCCATCCATCTACACATCCATCCATTCACTCATCCATCCATCCACCCACCTACCCACCTACCCATCCACCTACCTACCTACCCATCCACCTACTCATCCACCTACCCATCCACTCATCCATCCACCCACCCACCCATCCATCCACTCTTCCAGCCACTCATCAGGCATCTACTGAACAAATATTCTCTGCCAGATAAGACACTGTGCTCATCACTACAGGTACTTCAGTGAGGGATAGGGCCCAGTCCCTGTTCCCAAGAAGGTTTTCTGCCATGGGAAGAGGAAAGAAAAGCATGTGCCATGAGGACCAGGCTGCTTTGCTAGAAAACAGAGCTCTCTAACTATGCAGTGCCTCAGGAGGTAGTGAGCTCCCTGCCAGTGGGAGGGATGAGTCAGAGTGGAGTTTGTTGTAGAAGGGATTTCTGGGTCAGGAAGGGTTGCAGTTCATGGGCTGCTAGGAGTGTTTGATTCTGCAGGATTTCTTGAGCGCCCTCAAGAGTTCTACTGAGTTTGGGGTGTGGGTACTTCAGATCTGCTGGCAGGGCCACAGGAAAGATATTTAGGGTGCAGGGGGCTTTCCTTTTCCATGCAGGGAACATCCCAGTCAGGGTCGAGGAGTCCCCTGTCTGTTCAGCCTCGCCTGGAACCAGGGCTTCTTTCCAGGAATATTGGGCTTCCCATGAGGGTGAGATGAGGGGCTTGGAGGATCTTGTGCATCTTTCTCTGCCTGTCCTGGACCTTAAGGGGCAAAAGCCTGGCCCTGGCTCTAAAGATGCCAGGGACCTAAATAATTCAGGAACCGGAGGCACAGTAGAGGCCTGGCCAACCCTGGGGCATTTGACACCAGCTCCCAGGGGAATGCAATGAATTATTGACAGGATTCTGGTGCCCAGTTGCCGCTCTATTGTGGTCAGTCTGTGGGCCCATCTGCACCCCAGGCCTCCTCCAAGGGCTAATTACCTGAGAATCCTAACCCTACCCAGGCTGCCCGGCCCTTCTGCAGAGGCCTCCAGTGAGGAGTGTCCTCTTTACGATGGGTGACCTGAATGGCCACATTAGGAAAGTTGTCAAAGGACAGGGTTAGCTCCCACTGCTTTCACCCAGCATCTGGGGAAAACTGAGGCCCAGGAAGGTCCTTTTCCTGGTTCAGAGCCAGGTCTTCCACCCATACCTCCTAACACCTAAGCCAATGTTCCCTGTCACCCAAAGAATAGCCTCATTTCCAGAGAAATAACCCATCATTGCAAGGGGTATATGAACCCACCTGTCCTCCAGCACCTGCCCCTCCATGCTGACCCACCATTGGAACAAGACCTGCTGTGTTTGCAGCCGGGCTACAAAAAGGGCAGCTGGGGCAGACAGAGTCCTGTGGGGTGGCCACAGAGGCCCAAGTCAAGAGTCGCCCCTCTCCATCCTGCTTGGCTCCTTCCCCAGAGACTTTCCAGAGCGGAGGGGCTGGGGGCAGCCTGCTGGCTGGAAGTAGCATGAGGGCCTTTGCTTCAAAGCTGTTTTCATAGCAAGTACCTGTTTTTGCTTAGATGATCCCTAACAGTCCTTGAAAAAAGAGCAAAGTTTTATAAAAATGCTTTTCTTTATACTTTAAGTAAGGCTGAGATAATATCAATTGTCCCATTTCAAAGAATGTTATTTAGTAGTTTTTTGTTTTTTGTTTTTTCCTGTACCAGGAATCGAACTCATGAGCTTGCACTTGCCAGGCAGGTACTGTGCCCCTGAGCTAAATCCCCAGCCCCTAGTAGTTTATTGGGGAGGGGGAGGGTCTTAGGAGTTCAAAGTCCCAGACCACCTCTTGGAGGTGTGAGTTCAAGCCTCCTGTCCAGGCCATGGACAGCCCTGGCTCTCTGAGGTTATGCAGATCTAGGAGCTGGGGGCATTGCAGCTGGGATCTGCCTGCACCGTCCAGACCAACCTCAAGCCCTGTGCACTACTGGGGAGCCAGGAGTTCACAGCAGGAGAACCTTTGCCAGTCTCTGCACCACTACTGAGTGAAAAAGGTGGCAGCTCCCCCTTTAGGAAAAGGAAAAAAGCTCAGAGAGGTGGAAGCATGAACAGCAATCACAGTGGTAAGGTGGAGTCCCCTTAGAATCTGCTGGATGAATCCACATCTATCTGACTCCAGAGCCCGGTTCTTTCTACTGTCTACACTGCCTGCCTTCAGAGATGGTCATGCAGTGCTCGTGTGCACAGGGCTTGGACCAAGGTGTGAGGAGCAGAAGATCTGCCAGGAGGCCACTTCCTCTCACTGTGTGAGGAAAGCAGCAAGAGGGGACCAGCAGCGGGGGCACATGGAGTAATGAGGTGCCCGTCCGTATGACGGTGTGTCTAGCAGAGGCCTGAAGGCTGGGCCGGGAGGCTGTTTCAGGGGCTGGTGTTGAACATGCTGACCTCACAGGCCCCTCCAAGTGTAAGGACTGAGACTCTCAGGCAAGGGAAACCGGGAAGAGACCAGAGACTTCCCCGAGCCAATGCGGGGAATAGCTCCCTCTTGCCCCCTAGGGGTGTCTTGTCACATTGCAACACCTCTGCTGATTCCGGGGACCTTCTTTGACTGTTCTTTGGCATCTAAGGATAGGGATCAGAACCTGAGTTCCGGTGCTCAGCAGATGCTAGTGGAATGACAGGGACCTGAAGAATCAGTAGGCAAAGGGTCAAAGAAGGACAAAGATTCTCAAACTCACCCATAAGCAGCATTCTCCGCACCACTGAGCTTAGGGACTCTACCTGAGAAGCCTGACCTTGGCCGTGCAGGGAGTAATCCCACCATGGAAATCAGCAAAAATTACAGGTCCAGTGTTAAACATTGGCCTGCACATCCATGAGCCGGGGAGAAGGTGTCCCTTTGTGTGACAAGCCCTCCCGTGTTTCTGCTCAGGCCAAGCATCCTTTCGTGCCATCCCCTGCTGTCTGGGGGCCTGCAGGGTTAAGAGCCCTCCCCAGCCCTCCCACCCCTAGCTTTATAAAGACGAAATTGAGACTGGGAGCAGCACTACTCCCCCTGGCCTTTCCCTAGCAGAAAGACCAGGATAGGACAGGGGAGCTTCCGCAAGGCTGTCTGAGGGGAACCCAAAAGCCCAGCTAAGCTTTCGAGTAGTGGGGTGGGGAGCAGTCTACCCTTGGGAACATGAGGAGGCAGCGCAGAGTCCTGAGCTCCAAGGGAAGCATTTCAGATTCATCCAGTGTGGCTGCTCCCCCACCTCCTCTTCACATAAACGGCAGGATTTCTTTTTAATTTTTTCTTATATTTTCAAAATCTTTTAATGAATACATGTTTGCAACACAAAATGAATATATTCATCATGGAGTACCTATACATGGTCAGGAGCCAGTTCTGTATTGACGTTAGACCAGTTCTAAGTCATAAAAGCTCCTGGGGCCCTGGAGAGCTCATTGTCAGATGGGGCTGCAGAGTCCAGAGGAGCAGGGTCCTTCCCAGAGGACTAAGCTTTGCTGACCCCATCGCAAGGAAAGTCCGAAGGGCTCATCTCCAGCCCCTGCTCTGCCTAGTCCCGGTCAAGCCAGTGTCCCAGGACTTCTGTTGGGAGGCAGACACAGCATGCTGCCTGAAGACATCACCCCAGGGTGCTAGCGCCCCCAAGAGCTCTCCTGGGGAAATAGCCTCATGAATACAACCATACACACTGTAGAAGATAATGCAGCCTTGAGGAATGTTGTCCCGGCCAGCTCCTGCTCTCCAGCCCCAGTATGTGGGCTACCATCTCCAGCATCAACGTAGGGGCTGTCCACCCATCTCTTCCCTACGAGTCACAGCCTTTGGCATGGTGGGCTTGCTCCACTCTCTGGCTTCTTCTAAACCACCACGCCCCCTGCCTTTCTCAGGTTAATCGGGAGCTTCCGCATGGTGCTGCAGAAGGTGGTGGAGGAGAACCACGTGGAGGTGACTGACACGCTGATCGATGACAATAATGCTATTATCAAGGTGGGTGTGCCCAGAGAGTCCATGGACTTTCCCATCATAGGACCTCCTAGGGCCTGACCTCACTCCCACACACAGAGTGGTCTGGGAAGCATTCCAGGTCAGATGCCACCAAGGCAAGGCAGGAGGAGGAAACTTAGTCTGAAGGCCCAGGCTGAAGCCCTTGCGGCATAGAAGGGTCTTCTGTCCCAAAGTGGAAAGCCCAGCCCCTTCCTACAGTGACAGTGCTGGGGAAGGCCACGGGGATAGGATTATCATTTCTTCTCCACTAAGGAGGCTTTCCATTTGGACCTAAGTCAGAAATCACTGAGGAGGCTTTAATCATCACCAAAAGACCAGGCAGAGCCCCGGCGGCCCCTTCTGGCATGGCCTCCTTGCTCCATATCTGACTTGGCTCCCAAGGTGGGATGTTCTGGGAAGACAAGGACCTCATTTCCTACTCCCTTTGTCATACTCCTCCCTGCTCCCGCCTGGGCACTGATGACGCAGAGTGCAGCCCTTAATGCACATCCTACACAAAGGAAGGCCCTGCTCTCTGTCTCCTCAAGCTCCTACCTGGCTGCATGCACATGGGCAGTAAGCGTGGTGGTGAGGAAGCCTCAAGAATAAATCCTGATTACGTCACCCCCTAACTCTGCAACTTAGGCAAGCTATGTATCATCTGCGGTGAGGAAAGATATGGTGTGTGCCTCGAAGGATTGTTCTGAGGATTAAATGAGCCTACACAGAAGGTGCTTATAATGGTTAAGCGCATAGTGTGTGCTCAGCAAATATATAAAATAATATTGTTAGCTATTACCTTCTGACATCGGTTTACCCATGTGTGAAATGGGGCTGTACCATGATCTCCCTTCCCCAGGGTCCTGTGTACTTCCTGCCAGAAACTGCAGCCTCAGGGTCACAGTGGGTGCGGCCCTCTCAGAGTGCTCAGCGTGAGACAGGTTCACACTGTGTCTCGGCATCTCAAGATGCTTCCTGGAAGAACAAAGAGAGCATTTGGGGGTGCTGAACTCAGCCTTGGCCAGGCCATTCCCTTCCATGAGCAGAGGGCTAGCCAAAGGGCATCTTGAATTCGGGGCTTGGGAGCTCAGTCACCACAGGCGGGAGGATACAGATCAAGTGACAGATGCCAGTGGTCACAGAAGGGCTGATGAGCTGGGTAGGGTAGCTTGCTATGTTGAGATAAATGAGTTTGTGTGAAAGCATCTTAGCACGACATCTACATAGTGAGGGCTCAGAAAGTTGTGCCTTTCCCTTCTTCTGGGAAACCCAGACCTGCACATTATGGGGTCCAAGCACTGGAGGCAAGCTGCCTATCCAGGCCCACAAGTAAGTCACCCCCAGACCTATGTGGAAGACATCAGAAGGTGGGAGGGCTTTCTTCACCCATGTGGGTTGGGCAAGGATCCGGAAGGATTTGTCCCTGAGCACTGGGGGAGGCTGACACTCAAAGGAGATAAGTGGCCCAAGGACACAGAGCAGGAACCCAGTCAGGCCCGTCAGTTGCTGAGACTGGGCCCAGGTCTGGCACTCTACTTGCTCCAGAGGAAAAGCCCAAGATCCCTTCCTCTCCAAGGTGGGAAGCTGGGCGTTGGAGGAGTGGGAAGAAGTGCGACTCCACACCTTTGTACAGTGTCCAGGGCCCAGTCCTATCCTCGATAGCATGCTTAGCTCGTGCCATGCCAACCCTGCCTCACCAAGCCTGTAGGCAACCCTGGTTCTGAGGAAAGGAGATGACCTAACCTTTGGTCATCACTGAATGATACTCTCAATTATGTATACAGAGGACTCAGAAAGCCCACTGCCAGCCTCAGGCTCGGCTGTCCAGGGCAAGCCCTGACCTTGGACACCAGGAAGGAGCATAGCCAAGTGCCATGGGATCTGGCATCAGGTCCCACTGAGCTGGCAGTCCCTGTGTGTCAGTCTTCCTAAGCCCCGGTTTCCTCATCTGCCAAATGGACTGAGACAGGAATTCCCACCTACATCTCCTCCAATGAGTTGGGGGTAAAAGCATTCCTAAACACCAGCTGCTCTCCGACCCCTCTCCCTCCAGACCAGTCTGAATGTGGAGGTTCGGTATCAGGCTGCAGATGGCACGGTGGGCTCCTGGGATGATGGAGACTTCCTGGGGGATGAGTCTCTTCAGGAGGAAGAGAAGGACAGCCAGGAGACAGATGGGCTGCTCCCCAGCTCCCGCCCCAGCTCCCGGCCACCAGGCGAGAAGAGCTTCCGGAGGTAACAGGCTGGGGCCCTCCAGTTGCCCACTGCCCTCAGAGATGTGGGGAGGAGCTCTGGGGCCTGGTCACCGGGCTGGGCTCAGAGTGCAAAGCTGAGCTTCTGCAAAGACATACAAGAGGTGGGAGGTGTTTCAGCAACACCCCTCACCTGCTCCCTGCAAGGGCCGACTAGGGAGGCAGCAGGGGGCTCAGACCCAGCTGAGATGCCAGGCCTCCCACCAACCCGAAAGGAAGCAAAGGTCTGGGAGTTGATCAGTAACATGAAAGGAAGAGGTTGGACCCCCTGCCCTCCTCAGGGAGCGGGAGAGGGGGCAGAGGAGAAGCTCCTTGCCTCTCTGGTCCAAGACCCAGCAGTGCCAGCCAAGCCCAGGCTGCCTGGCCTCCACCCTGTGGAGAGACCCGAGAGAGAGGCCTCTTCTCACCAGAGTGAAGCCAATGGCTCCAGTTGGGATCCAGCTTCTCTGTTGAGAAGAATGCATCTGGGCATTTTGGTGGCCAGGATTCATGCCCTGCAAATGTCTTGCTATGTACAGATGAAGGAAGCCTGTGTCCAGGCTTGCTCCTTCCACATGCATCATTTTTACAAAAATGGAAATGCAATGGCATTTCCCAGGGAGGCCAGAGAGAGACAGCCTTGTCTGGGCTAGTGAAATGTTGTCCATAGGTCCCTGAGTCACTGGGGATGACTGATAAGTCTAAATAAAAGACCAGGGGATGATCGTAAGTGCAAGCAGGGCCCTTGCTGCCCCTGGAAGCATCTTCTAATCTCCTTCCACCTTTTCCTTCCCAAGTAAGGTTTACTTAGTCCCTATGCTAAAACAAAACAAAACAAAACCCAGCCTCTCAGTGTAATAGAACTGATAGGCCTTTATTGAATAAATGTCTTTTCCTTCTTTGCACTTGAACCATTTCTCACTCTGCCTCCTGACACCATACACACAAGCAGGATAAGCCCTGGGACTGTCACTTCAGGCCAGGCATGGTCCTCCTCAGACTTTGAGCAGAGCCCCGGGCCTGAGTGCCAGTTCTGCCTCTTACTAGCATGTCACCTAACCCCTTGACCCTGGGCAAGTCACAGAACCTCTCTGACCCAGATCCTTCAGCTGTAAAACGGGAACCGTAGCCATTAAACCCTGACCCCTGTTGTCAACAGAGCCAAGAGGATTATGGAGATTCAGGTTGAAGCCACAGAGCCAGGTGCTGCCCATGCAAGGCCTGGAGACAGCAGGCTTCTTACAGCTGGACAATGCATAGGGTCAGAATCAGATTCAAAATGCTCAGGGGAGGAGCAGAGAGTAGATAGGTATGAGCGGATGCCGGCACAATGGCCTGGTCTCCATCTACTGACTCTGCTTAGGAGAGAGCCACACAGGGTTGGCTGGAAGGCCGCAGTTGGGCTCTAACAAAGGACTTTCTGAGGACACAACTGGAAGCTGCAAGACCAGCAGGGGAAAGGAAAGGAGCACAGGTTTGAGTCAGGAGTACTGAGTTCCAGTAGGTCCCATCCTGACTCTGCCACTCAGTAGCTGAGTGGCTGAGAGGACCTCATCAACCACACCGCTGAGAAATAGGAATGAATTCAACAAGCTGACTTTCTGGCTACCCTCGGTGATGACCTCCTGAGGGATCGTGCAGGTAGCATCCATGGGAAACAGTTCTCCTGGGAGCTCTCAGTGACCAATCGACCACCTTCTGTGGGGTCACTAAGGCTCAGAGAATGCTCAGCCTCACCTTCCCACCCTTAAAATAGGCTCACGGGAATGCTAGGATGAATCCAGATAGTGTATGGTGCCTGGCATGGGGTAGGTGCTCAGCCAGCATGCATGTCCTCCTGCTTCAGACTCCGTGTCACCCTGAAACACCCAACTGTTTCTACCTCAAGCAGTACCTGGCCTTCTGGTCCAAGTGATGTTACCAAGCCCCTTCTCTCCTCCAGCACCACACCTGTAGGCAGCTGCTCTTTGAATGCTGTCCACGCAGGAGATTCAGCCTCCCTGGGTAGGAGCAAAGACCTCAGCACCTACCTCCCAAGATTGTCTGTGTAGGAAGGAGTGAATTACCAACCTCATGAGCACTTGGCTCTCGTGAGCATGGAATGCGGGTTCTAAGCCCTGTGTGTCACCAACATACGTTGGTCCCAGTCTCTGGAAAGAGAAGAAATTTCAGCTCTGACCCCCCACACACACACATACACAAATGCTGGTGTGTGTGCACATATTCACATGCACACACACCATCTGTGGGACCACAGGGAGCTGCACACACCACAGTGTCTCTAGGAGCCACATCTTCAAAAGGACAAAGACAGGAGCCTCAGCTTTCACCTGGCAGCTGAACTACAGAGTCTTAGGGCTTTCTTCCATGCTCCCTGTGCTCTGCAACTCTCTCCTCTTCTCATTTTCTCTACCTGGCCCGGCTCTCCAGCCCTCCAGGGTCCCCATCTCCTGCTGCCCAGTGCCCTCTCTGGTGTCTGTGTGCATGTAGTCTGCTAGGCTGCTGTCTTCTGGGTCTCGTTTGGGGGTGGGTTGAGATAGTGGAGCCTGTGGAAGCCGTGGAAGCCCCTCCTGCACCTGGGCAGGGCTGCTGGGCATGTTGCATGGCAGGAGCTCTGAGAGGTGTGCGTGAGCACGTGTTTAAGGGTGCAGCACACCCTGCCACCCCCACTAACTCTGATTTCTTAGCTCCCTCCACGCTCAGAGACCTAGAAAATCCTTCCCTTCCTCCCTTTGCCAGGCTGGGCTCCAGAGCTGCTGTGACTCCTAAGGCAGCTTGAGAGGCAGGGTCAGCTGACCAGGTCAGAATCTAGAAGTGAAATGAAGCTCGGGAGACCCCTTTCCAGATCAGTCGCTCTGCCTGAGATGGGGGCCTCTTCACACCAGCCTAGGGCCGAATGCCCAAGTGAAGCCTAGGGCTATGAAGGACCTAGGTCCCTGGAAGCCCTAGAGGTCTCAGCAGGCTACCATGTTGCTCCTCCTGCTCTGTGGCCTTCCTTGCTTGCTGGTCGAGTGTTCAAGGGCAGCCTGAGCATCTAAATTGTCATTTGCAAAATAGGATGAGAAGGACATCCAGCTCACGGGCCTGATGGATTACCCATGGCACGGTCTGTTACGGTTCCAAGCACCGGGCATTTGCTGTTCTTTGCATTTGCTGCTTAGGTAGCATCAGCAACTGAAATTGTAGTGAAATCGAAAGGGTAGTCATTCCTCATAGAAACAGACAGCTTTTTCCTTTCTCAATTTCCACAGTCAGAGACTATGGGCCTGTGTGGGTCCTGAGTGTGGGAGGACAGGGCAGGACTGAAGCTCCCAACTGACGGAGTCTGGCACTTCTCTATCTCAGAGCAAAGACAGAAAGCAGCACAGTTCGCTATTCAGTGCCCAGTTCCACCTTCCTGCCCCACCCCCGCCCACTCCCAGACAATGTACTTCTTCGGATTCCTTTATGGAGGGGATTTTCAGATTTTCCAGGCATAGAGTTCTTTCAGAACAAAATAAAACAAAATTAAACCCTTCCCTCAGAAACTACATGACAACTCAGGGCAAAGCAGCTCCACTTAGAGTAATGAGAGGCTGGGGCAGTAAGTCTACTGAGACTAGGATCCCTACAGCTCCCCGGAGCCCCTGCTCCATTGGAAGAAACCCCAGCCGCCTGGCCTAGAAGAGGCTGCTGAGACATCACTTCCTCCTCAGCCCCGAGCTGTTTCCTGCTCAGTGATCTCTGTGAATCATGGCAGCCAGAGACCAGACCAGTGCTGAATTAGAAACTAGCCTGCTTGCCTAACATGAAGATTACCTGGCCAAAGCTGAGCCTGGGCTGTGCTGTCACAAGGCCTTTGAGGCCTGAGCCGTGAGGGTGTGGAATAAAGTTTCTGGGAAAGGTCTATGCTGGGACAATACGTGAGGAGAGGGAAAAGCTTGCTAATGCTTATTTTCTTTCTTTTCTTCATCTTCACTGCCATGGCACTGGGGAGGCATTGAGAGAACATTTGAGAAGGGCTGCTGGAAGCCCACCTAAAGAGAGATGGGAGCACTGTTTTTCTCCTGCTCTGAGCCCTGGAGTGGTAGCTCACTTGCCGCCTGTCCCACCTTTCTTCTCAGAGGCTGACTGCCTTCTTAGCAGCACTCCAACTCGCTCACCCCCTCAAAGCAGGCTCAGCGCCTGTCTCCCTGGAGGGCCCCAGAGTCTAAGAGCTTCCCACCTCTTGGAGTGGATGCACCTTGGGGGGACACAGAAGGGGAGCCCACCCTGGGAACCTGCATCCCACTTTCTAGAATCACTGGATCGTAGCTTGATTTGGAGATTGGCTGATACCCCAGGCCCTTCCTCTTCCTCCAGAGGCAGAGCCTAGGGGCATGACAACCTAGGCCCAGCACACCCAGGCTTACTAGACAGCAGAGGCTGTGGGTTGAGGGTCTGTGGGACAAGAAGGCCCCTGGGGCACATGGGGGACAGCAAGGCCAGGGGCTGCGGCTACAAGTGTCTCTGGTCCACATCCTCTCACTTGCATCCCCTTGTCTCCTCATTTCTCCCCCATACTCAGCAAAGGCAGAGAGAAGACCAAGGGAGGCAAAGATGGCGAGCACAAGTAGGTGTGCCTGCCCTTCCCTGCAGAGGGCAGTGGGCCCCACTGAGAGGTGCAGCCAGCAAGGGGGGGGCATGCCGGGGGAGGGACCGGAACGGGAGGGGGAGGAACAGGGAGGGGCAGGTGGCTGGGCCTCCTGATGTCTGCTCTTGGTCCTTGGGGACGATCCTCATCCCTTGCTCTTCCTCTGCTGCCCTGTTTAGCTCCCTACTCCTGCAGGTCAGGTCCTTAAGCTTCCCTGTAAGGGAGGATATGGCTAAAGGCAAAGGATGGCAATCACAAGAAGCCAATGCCCCCTCCTGCTTAGTCCAGGTAGTTGGACATACAGTCCAGAGGCCCAGGGACAAGCTCTGGGCACTATGTGACTGTAGGGTAAGGTTGGAGCATGAAGACCTAGAAAGCGGAGAAGAGATGACCATCTGGCGGTCCCCACAATCTTCATTCCCCAAAAGGCTTCCTGGGGAATGGATGCACCAGGGCTCTCTGGGAAAGGAGAGGAGGAGGAGACTCAAAATAGGGGGTGCAGGCCACCTGGTCATCTGAGCCTGGTGGCTTGAGGTTATTACGAGGTGGTCTGCTGCCCCAGAATCACATTGTCATTTGGAGACTCTAGCATTACAGGGAATGTCACGAGAGCAGTGGTAGCCAGCGGTGGCCATTCTGAAGGGAGCCTCTAGCCAATCCCCTTTTTACAGATAACAAATATGTATCTCAGAGAATAGGGACAGATCTGGGGCCAAAAGACAGGGAATCTGATTTCCCATCCTGAGCTCACAAATGGACTCAGGAAGTCTGGGGAATTTCACCAGGTTCTAAAGTTAATTAATTTGACAAACATACTGATGAGAGCTGAAAAGCCTGGAATGTGAACTTCAGTTTTCCAGATAGGGAAACTGAGCCCCAGTGATACTGCAACAGCAAGCTGAAACACCGAAACCACACCCAGGGTTTGGAGGCAGATTTATTTAATGTTGTCGGGCACTGATCAGGATCATTCCCAAAATATCAGGCCCTCATCTCTGGTGGTCTAGGGCTCATATGGGATAAGCAAGCAGGAAGTACAGAGGCAGAATGACTTGCACTGGGGATTGGTTTATACCATGTGTGTCGTAGTGACCAGCTATGTATCATAGTGACCAGCTGTTTCTGAGAAACAAAAGTACGGAGAACTGTAACCAGAACTATTACCTGGGCAACTAACAAACTGAAGTATACTGGATGGGTGGGGGCATCTTCTGCTATAGTATGAAGAGATTTGCTCAAAACCATGATCTCAATACATTAAACATTAGTTTGTATGAGGATAGCGTGGAAACCCCAGGATTGGGGGCAAGGGGATCTGAAGTGACTGGCACCAGGCCTGGGGTCTCTACATATATTAAAATCCCAGGGAACTCACAGCCTCATCCATTGCTTTACCATAAACACAATGAGTTCCCACTGTACCTGTTATAAGCAAGCAATAACCCTGACCACAGTGTTAAGGCTTTGGTGATTGAGGTCAATTGGGGGAGAGCTCCACCAGAGACCTGAGGGACAGAGGAGTTTGCAGATTCTAAGGGACTCTGAAAACCTCAGGTCAAGCATCTGCAGACCTGGAGAGAGAACCAGGAGTTAAATCCTGGGGGAAGGGAGGGGCATGATGCTGAACTGGGGCATCCTCTTAGAGAGAAGGGTCAAGGATTTGGGTCTGTCCTTGAGCAATTAGATGTCAAAGGCTTATACCTGAGGCACAAGCCACCTGTCTGCCCCAGGCCCTCCAGCTGGGAGGCGTTTTTTGATGTCCACTTCTCTAGCTGCCCCGGGCCAGAGTCACGGGCCTCAGCCAGACCTGGGGCCTCATCCACACATGATCCTTGCAAGTGGCTACAGCTGAGTAAGAGGTAACCATACAGTAGGACTATATTACATGCTGGTTTCCTAGTTCTACCACATCTTCCATTAACCCATATGACATAAAGTAAATTTGTACAGATTATTATTTTAATGTGTACAGCAATAGGACTGTTGGAAGAGTAGGGAAATGAGATTTCCAAGAAGAGATTAAATTAATTGAGACTCATCAGCCTCGGAAGAGAAAACTGTGGGAAGAACTTGCAACCTCTGAAAGGTGATAAAAACTGGTTGGTTTATTTCTCCACTCAGGGATGGATGGGAATAGATATAAGGTGTGGTAGGGAAAATGTAAGATTTGACCCATGAAGATCTGTGTGCTTCCCATGGTAGGTGGGACTCTGGGACAGGTTGTTTTGGTTGCTTTGGAGAAATGGGAAATATACTTTCACAGTGCTGTTTGCTTGGGTTTTCTGTAAAGTTGGACCACTGGGCAGAAGTGGCAGCCAGTTTTCCTGGCACTCCTGGGGGCAAGAAAAGTATGTGTGAGTTTTCCAAGCCTCCTGGTACAAAGGTGACACATGTACAAACAGGCTGGTTTTGACAGGGTGGTCAATCTGTCCTCATTCCTGGGAAAACTATTCCTTAAACTCAGTGAAATTCAACACACTGTCAAAGATGCCTGTAAAGGCTGCAATTATGAAATTACTTACATTTGGGGAATGGAAAATGAATGAAATAAACCCGTCAATGGCCACTTGAAAACATGCCTCCAAGTTTTAAAAATCTGGTTGTTAAAGCAATGCAAAGAAGCATCACAAATCTTGATTCTCTTAGGCAAGAGTTTTTAAAATTAATTTATTTATTTTAAAGAGAAAACAAAAACATAATAACAAAACAAAGACATAAACAAAACAATATAAAAACAATACATAATTAAAAAACAAGGTGATAGGAAATTAACAATGGTTTCTGTATTACATATTGCTATCTTCAAAATGATTACTCAGACAACCAGACATAGGCATGTAAAATTGATCAAACAATTAAATATTGAAAGAGTAAATAAAATCTGAAAGGTACAATAGATATTGTGAAAGGGAAAGAAATTGCTCAAAAGGAAAGAACAACTGGGATGAGGGAAAAGAGAAAAGAAGGGAAGGAAACAATATGTATATATATACAAGATAGCTAAGGTAATTATACTACTAATTTCTGTTGGTTTATTAGGTAAGAGTTTGTTTATCCCAATTTCCTAAGGACTGAGCCAATGAGCTGGACAGTTGCAGGTAAAGCCAATTGTGAGGTAGAGGCCCTGGGCGGTGAGATACCATCAGACCCACAAATGAAAAGAAGAGTTTACAACTACTGTGCTCATTTTAAAAGCTTGTCTCTGGAGAGAATAAATACCAATTTGGATTTATCATTCTGACTGTAGTGAACCCAGCCACAGGAAACAGATGTGATTCTAAATCTTGAGAAGGTCCTAAAAGGCCTTCTCCTCTCTATTCTTATTTCTTAAGCCTAATGCACCCATGAATAAGGAGCTATTTGGTTGTAGTTTCACAGAGTTGATTATTGGCTTGTTTTTTGTGTCTGTTCCTTACCACACCTAACTTCAGTAATTGTAGATGCCAACTAGGTCAAATGCAGAATTTTAATGTTTTTTAAAAGGCTCATTACAAGATAAATCTAATCAACAAATTATATAAATTTTTTAAAAAATCTAGGCCTCAATACAAGTGGATTATCTTCAAAATTCCCTGATTAAGTTAACATCTATTTTTAAAATTGCCTTTCCTCTTTGCCAAGGGAAGTCAGTACGCTGCTTTCTGGGAAAAGGTGCTGCAGGAAGGGCTTTTTCTATCGTGACCTGAAATGTCATTGATTAGAAAAATTACAAAGGGCAGGGATGTTGATGACATCATGCTCTACTGCCTACAGTGCAGATGCACTGAAGAACAAGCCGAGGAGAAACCAACAGAGGCACAGAGCCTGTAGTAGAGTTCTGGAGATTATGTTCATTATATACATTTCCACATTTGCTTTCAACAAATGAACACCTTTTTGAGATATTCCTGGACACACAGACACACAGGAGTACTACCAGTGAGCCTGTCTTCTTCAGATAGGTAAATGATGCAGAGTTGGAAGGGAAGGGTTTCTTATTGACTTGCTTCAGGGTGTGGTATGTGTAGTTTGTTTTAAACTCTCAATCTTTACCTCCAAATGTATTCGTTTTAAGGAATAAAGTAACTTTCAAATTCAAGGGCCAGAACTACCCCAAGGATGCCCCAAGACCCAAGTGGGTAGGTATATAGGACCAGCATCAAAAAAACAACCACATCCTGCTGCCTGGCAGTTGCTATAGGCCTCAGGTAGCAGGGCCAGATCTTGTCCTAGGATGCTGAGTCACTGGTTCCTCCAAGCAGGGCCTCTTTTAACCTGGCCCTCTCAGAGCACTTCCCTTGAAGGGGTGAGTGGTTCTGTGGCTGGAGCAAGCTATGTAAGGGTAGGTTGCCAGTGGAGTAGGACTAGGGACTCTAGGAGTGGCCCGTCTCAGGAACAGCCCAGAAAAAATTGTGCAAAGGCAAACACTGAGATCCTCCAGGATACTTCCAGGTAATTCAGGAGGGAAGTCTTTAAACAGTGAAGCTGGGTAGAAGGGAATCCCAAGCCCTGAGAAAAGAAGGGATAAGTGGGGAGAGATGGAGTAAGGCCCACACTGGCCATGCTTCCTACAGCCAGCTGGCACCTGCTCCTAAAGCTATCAGGTGGGAAAGAACCAAGAATAAGAAGGGCAGGATGGCCCCTATCCTACCATCATGTGATTGTTTCCAGTGGCTCAGTAAGCACTCAATCTCACATCATCAGCGGTTTAACATTTATAGCAGTCTCTCCCCAAATGTGTTGATGCCTGGGTTATTTTTTCAATGAGCCCCTTCTATGTGTGACTTATCACAGGTGATGTCCCAATCTGCAAATGTGCTGGCGTGCAGAGCATAGCTGTACCCACAAGTGCAGCCCCTGCAGCCTTTTGCCAAAGTTCTCAATGGGCAGAATGGGGGTCATGCCCACAGCACTGGGGCCACAGAGCCAGCACAGAGTGGAAATACTGCTGGCCTAGGAGACAGGAGCTTTATGCTTCAATCCCAATTCTACTACTTATCATGGGACACGGAAATTACTTACTCCCCTCCGAGTCTCAATTTTTTCCTTGGTTGAATGAGATGAAGCATATGTCCCTCATAGGACTCCTAGGAAGAGGAAATGAGCAAACAGCTGGAACAGCCATTCACCCACAGTAGTTGCTTGAGAAAGGTATATAATCTCTTTTGGACCATTTTATGGGTATAATTCATCTCCCTTTATTTTATAAATGATCCTTTTGCAGAGCCCCCTTCTTTCCCTTCCTTTCCATCGTTACATCCCAGACAGGATACTGGAGAGGGCAGACACCTCAGTGTCACCCAGTCTCCTTCCATCCTTCTTTAGAAATTCATGAACATGCCAGTCAGCTGGTACCACATGAAGGGCTGTTCCTGACTGCTCCTCACTGGCATATGGACATGGCTTTCCATGTATCTGAATATCAAGTCCTAGATTTAGGAGAAGGCCTGGTTCAGGGGATGAAATTATCTCCTCAAACCTCGTCTAAGGGCTTTAAAAGTTCGTAGGCCATCTCTGCAAGGACAGGAGGGTTTTCTCCACCTTCACATTACACGGCAAGAAGAACAGGGGTCTAAGTGTCTTAGAAACCATGGTCAGGCCTCGGAGATACAGACCCAAAGATAAGTGCTGTAAGCCTGCTGGAGGGCGAGCTGTGTCTGCCATGCCCTGTGCCTATGGGATGGCAGCCACAGCCAGGAGGAGGAGAATGGGAAGTGAAGAGAGTCAGGTATCCCGCTCATGCAATATGGATGGGGTAATGGAATACTGCACCCTACCCCCATCAATCCTACTCCTAGTCCCTTCCGGCTCCAGGGACCTCAGGCTCAGCTGCAGGGACATCACTGAAGGGCAGTGAGGACCCCTGCCCCCTTCCCTCAGCCCCCTGACTGCAAAGCCCTTCATCTGGGACACAAGGCCACACCAAGCCAGAGGAAGAGGTAGGAACTATGGAGTCTGCCATGAGTTCCTGGGGGCTGGGGGAAAGTGGGCTTTTGCAGTGGTGGCAGGGGACAGGCAGGAGGAACAAAAGCCAGAGCCAGAGACAGATAAGAAAGGGCCCATCTCCTCCTTTTCACTGGGGGCCGAGAAGAATCCCAGGGCGCAGAGAGGCTTGAGAAAGGCCAGGCAGGTTTTTACTCCCGCGCTATCTGAGCACTGAATAGCTTCTCCATCTCCCACCTCCTGAGCCTCTGCCCCTCTGAGTCCGAGTCAGCCCTGCCCGCCTCTGTCCTGATGCTCCCTCTCTGGTCCACTGGCTTTCTTTCCAACCAGCTCAGATGGGGTTCAGGGCGGGGATTGAGCTTGGTGCCCTTGCGGAGCTCCGGGCTCCGAGAAGACTGCACCGAGGGGGTTAAGGTCAGTTTAATAGGCCAAGACCCCAAGGTGCTACAGGTAATGCTTCCTTTCAGCTCCAGGCCAGCTTCTGGTTCGCGGGGCCCCTCATACATTCCCAGGAGTACAAGGGGGTGAAAGAAGGAAGCGGTGGGGTTTCCTTTGCCTCTTTTCCCTCGGCTCCCAGCTTGGGAAGTCAGACTCCTAATGTGTTCTGGGACTAGTGGGTGAGGGCATCCATCTCCCTTTTTCTGTGTGTCTTGTGTTTTGTGTTTGCTCTTGTGTGCTTGTGCTGTCCGCCGGGCGTCCGTCTGCCTCCACCTCATTCTGCCGGCCCCTCTCGCAGAGCCGGGAGGAGCGTGTTCTCTGCTATGAAGCTCGGCAAGAGCCGGACCCACAAGGAGGAGCCCCAAAGGCAAGGTAGGACACACAGCCCTACGCGTGGCCGGGGCGCTGGCAGACACCACTTTGCACTTGATCGCGTCAAACCCGGCTTCCCGGACACACCCCGAAGGAGTCCTCCTGGGATTGGATAGCCAGAGTGCCCTGGGCGGGGCCTAGCCTTCCATTGGCTGGTCTAAGAGCCAGGCCCGGAGCAGACAGTAGCCGGGTCGGGAGCCCCATCCCTGGGGCCAGGGTGGGCAGTAGTTCTGCTGGTTTGAAAATGAGTAAGCAGCCCTTTTCAAATGGGCTTGTCTACAAAGGCTCCTTCTGCCTTCATTGCTCCCTAGCCTCCCTTCATTCTTTACACAGAAACACTTTATTTTTAATTTAGAGGAGCAAATGGCAAGAAACCTTTAGCAGATTCCTTTCTGGGCAAAACCAGAATCTCAAGAGCACTTGCTCAGTGGAAGAGCTCATGGCTGTGCCTTTGCTGGTGCCCTCTCACCAGGCTGCAGCCCGGCCTCTAGGGCAGAGAGGCTCAGCTCGGCCTGGGAGGCTGAAGGGACCCCAGGGAGTAGAGGGCTGGGGCAGGGCCTTGACAGCTATTTAAAAAGAGGCAGAGAGGACTGCAGGAGATGCGGTGAGTGATGGGGAGGTAAGGAGACTTGTGCAGGCCATCGGCCATCACGTGCCCACCAGGGGCTCCAGGCTGCCTTCCCAGCATCCCCTGAGTGGCCCACTGTACTCTTGCCCATGCCAACTCCAGTGTGCCCTTCTCCTTGGATCAAGAGTACAGCGCATCCATCTTCTTTGGTTGGCTTTTCAGAGCTGTCTTCTCTTCATCTCATTGGATTAATACACACTAATCCAGGGTTAGCTCCTGAATTCTACAGGCTATTTTACATAGATAAATGACTTCTTCAGCCTCGGTTTCTCTATCCACGACACAAGAATAGTGCTTATCTTGACAGGTCTGACCTCTAAAGAGATGTGTGTGTGTGAAGTGACTGGCATTGTGCCTGGCATTTTAACCACTCAGTTAAAAGTACCTATTATTATTAGAGAGATGTAAGTGTGGATTGTTTATTCCTACCTTCTTCTGCAGAGGATATTCAGCGCTTTTGTAAGTAGTGTTCCATAAAAGAGGTATATTCAACTAAAATTTTTTAAAAAGGGGGCCAGACATATAATATCAACTAAAATAAAAAAACCAAGATTGGACAGAAACACTGCAAATGTACAGGGTATAACATCCTAGGCAAATGCTAGCAAATACACCTTGAATTTGACTCTCAATTTTTGAGATTCCAATTTAAAGAGGAAACAATGTTACTGTCCCTCTGAACATCCACCATCTAACCAGTCCTTTTTCTCCTCCAGATGAGCCAGCGGTGCTGGAGATGGAGGATCTTGACCACCTGGCTATTCGGCTGGGGGATGGGCTGGACCCCGACTCGGTGTCCCTCGCCTCTGTCACAGCTCTTACCACCAATGTCTCCAACAAGCGGTGAGTGGGCAGGAGCCCCAGGGCCCCTAGTGCTTCCCCCTGTCAAATAAGACCGGTTTGCTAGGTCTGGAATTTGGGTGGAGAAGACTCAGGCCCATGGACAGCTTCTTCCAGGCCCTGACCCTGTCTTCCTTTCCTGGATGTGCCTCTCACCTGTCAAGCTGCAGAGGCAGCACAGTGGCTGTGGGCTGTTCCCAGGTCATTGAACACCTCTAGGTGGAGAGGAAGCACAGAGCTGCCTGGCCTACACTGGAACATGTTCACTCAATGTCTGTCCCCCTGAAATTTCTTTTCTGAGAACAATTATCCCCTCTCCTGTTTGGTACTGCCTGAGTGTCTGCAAGAACAGGGCCCTACTGGCCTCAGCTTTGGAGGGCCAAACTCTCAATCTTGGTTGTTGTCCCTTCACCCTACTGCAAGGTCCAGTCACTGCCCTCCTCCCTGCAAGCAGGCCCCTTCCACCAAGCCTGATTGTACATTCTCTTTCTCAGATCCAAGCCAGACATTAAGATGGAACCAAGTGCCGGGCGGCCCATGGATTACCAGGTAGGTGGACACTTGGAGACCTTGTACTATAGTGAGGGGACTCAAGCCAGATGTGCATTATAGGCTCCACAGCTGAATATAAATTTTCAAAGTAAGTTTGTCCCTAGATGTATCAAAGTAGAGAGGTACAAAAACCAAAGAGAAACTTGCAAATTCTGCTTCTCCTGATAAAGCCCTTTCAAGATTTTATGTGCAGAACTAAACATCATAAAGGAAGAGAGGCCTGGAGAAACCATATAAAGAACAAGGAGAGAGATACACAGATACACACACACACACACACACACACACACACACACACACACACAGAGTATTCAAGTAGTTAAAATAGGAGCCTTTTGAAGAAAGTGATTTATTTTAATTGTTGCTCTACATTATTCTAATGCTGGAATTAATATCAATCCTGTTATCTCAAATAGTGAGAGTGTAGGTAATTGTTTCTTCTTCTTGCTTGTCTGTATTTTCTGAGATTAATACAATTTATTTATTGGTATATTTCCAAACTGGGGATAAAAGAGGTGAAACAGAAAGGGACTTATAGCTATTACTTTGTGAAGGTGGCCACATTGTGGGCTGGACAAGTGATGAACATGCTGGTAGCTGCAGGGACAGGGCCACGCTGGCCTCAGCTTTACAGGGCCAAACCCTCAATCTTGGTTGTTCTCTCAGAGTTGACCAGAGCCTGAGAAACAGAGTTATACCAACACAGATCACAATACACTAGTGTACAAGCCAGACGCACCTAGGGCTTATTTATAGTGGAAGCAGTGGGAGAGGAGCATCTCTCAGGACCAGCCTAAAGAGCCCCATTGCCCCAGACCTACCCCTGGGGACTAGCAAGACCCTGCTGCGTATCAAAAGTCTGCTGGGTGTTCCTGGCATTGAGTATGGTGGCTGGTCAGGGGGCACTGAACCTTCAGAAAATCCTCTCCTGGCTGTTACCCTGCAGGGTGACATTTCCTGCCCTGGGAACATCCTGTCTGGGTACTAGCACCAGGCCCCAGGAAATAAGACTGAGTCCCTCTCCTAGAAGGAGAGCTTTATTCCTGATGCCATTTCCTGGAACCTGCGCACACTGCTGCTTCTCTATGGACAATCCTACCTCACCTCCCCCAGGTGTTGATAGAAGGGACTCAGTGGTGCCTTTCTGTGTGGAAGTGTCTTAGTTACTTTTCTCTCATTGCTGAAACAAAATACCCTATGCCCAAAATTAAAGATGGAAAAGGTTTATTTAGTTTATAGTTTGTGGAGGTTTCAGTCCAAGCTTGGCTGGTTCCAAGGCAGAGTGGCACATGACAGAGGGCAACAGTTCATGGCCATAGGAACACAGCAAAAGCAACAAGAGCAAAAGGGAGGAGCTGCTACAAGCAGCCTCTTTCCCTCCCTTACATTGTATGCAAATTATCTGCCCCAGGGTGGTGTAGCACTCACATCCATAATCCACACATTGGACCACGAATCAATTATAACCTTTAGAAGCCTGCCCCATGACTGCATGAGGCTTTGGATGGACATCCAGGCACAAACTATAACAGGAAGGTACCTCTGATCATGTTTCCCCAGGGATTCACCTTGTGTCCCTTAATCCTGGCTAAAGCCTGTTTCTCTGCTCAGCACTAGTTTCCCAGGTGCTTGAGAAACAGCTCCAACAATGTCAAATGGACCCACCCCTGTGGTTTCAGACAGCCTCAAGCCTTTGGGCTCCTTGGAGGTTTGGGAATGTCACCTTCCCCTCACTCTCTGCCGAAACACAAACACAGTGTCCCAAGGCTTCTGAGGTTTTTTCCAGGGGATTTGTGAGCAGAGAACAGAAAAATTCCAAAGAACAAAGAATCCAACTCAGATACAGTGTCACTGGACTGCCCAGTAAAGGCACATCAAAAAGAGAGTTCTTATTGTTAATATGATGTAGTTTTTGAAAGTTTATTAAAAGTCAAGCACTGTGCTAAGAGCTATATATGTGTTTCCATTTGTTAGTACAACTGATAGAAGTCATGGAAGATAAAGACCCTGCACCTGTCACAGAGTCAGGGCTAGAACCAAGGTTCCAACCCAGGACTCCAACCCCAGCAGTCTGCGGGACTGTTTCTCTGTAGTTAAGCCTTGGACAGGTGCTCCCTTGTGGTCCTTGGGTCACTTTAGCTCACTACTTACTGTGCTTTTCAAACTGTTTCCTGCTAGACACTTCTCATTAACTAGGCCAGATGTTTTCCCTCTAAAGATTTTTTAAACCCTGACTTGAACAAACAATTGTTGCATTTAATCTGGCAGCACAGCATCTCCTGACAGGTGGTGCATTCATGACTCAGCTGCACGTGCACGTGCACGTGTGTGTGTGTGTGTGTGTGTGTGTGTATGTGTGTGTGGAGAGAGAGAAAGAGAGAGAAGGAGGGAAGGAGAGGGAGACAGAGACAGAGATGGAGACAAGACAGAGACAGAGATGGGGTATTGGATTGGGTGCTATGAGAAAGTAAATGTGAAATAACTTTTACTTCCTATAAATATAACATACAAAGCAACAAAACCAGAAGAGACTTCACTCACTTGAGAACTTAGCCTGGGTGAATTAGAAAGACCTCAGAAAGCACAGGCAGCTGGTGAGAGGAGATGAGGACTTGGCAGAACTCAGATCCAAGAAAGGTTCCCAGGGCTCAAAACCATTCTGAGGTTGGAAACCATTGGAAGGGAGGCCTGGAGGTGGTGACCGCAGCATTGCCTAGCCCTTGGATATTTAGAACGGACATGACACAGGAAGCCTTTTCCTGAGTTTTGGCATCTCAGAGGTGACAAGCCACAGTCACCTCTCTGTGACTATCAGTTTCCCGCCAATGAGTATTGCTCAGCACCTGGTAGGGATGTTTATGGTGGGTTATGGAGTCTTGTATTCCTTCCCCGCCCTTTCTTCCTGGCACCAAGACTTAACACGTTGTCACCTCCAGACATTCAGTTTTCACCTCCATTTCACCCCCGGCCACCAGCTGAGGCCCCAGCCTTATTGCACCCACTCCCTCCTATTCTCCCTGCCTTCATAGTGCCTCCTCCCCTCCATCTGCCATGGCATCGCTGGAGTGATCTCCAAATGATCGGGTCATGTTACATCTCTGGCCCTTGAAGATGAGGGCAGGCAAAGCATGCTGCCGAAGAGTCCATCCACACTCCGTAGCTCCCAGCTGGTGTTCTTGAAGCACTATCAGATCCTGCAAAGCAGGTCACAAGGCTCTATTACTCTTGGGTTCCCCGGGACAGAGGTGTAGATTTACTACACAGCACTGCTCCTTGTGATGACTTTGATGAAGCCACTTGGGGATATCTGTCCCTTATCTCAGCAGGAGACTGTGGAATGGCCAATAATCAAGAGTCAGCTGGTCAAGGAGTCCCAGTTGTGGCTCCCTCATCTTGACCCCTCATCTTCTGTCCTGGAGAAAGAATTGAGTCTGAAGCTGAAATCTATGCTTTCCTGGCACTTTCCTCACATTGCCAGTGGGGTTTCTATTTTCTTCGCATGCTGATGATGGAGGGAAAGGATGGCCCATCCCCTCCTGCAGGATATTAAAGAGGGATCAGTTTTTTTCTTTTAAGTAATTAATTTCTGTATTTTTAATTTCAAGTAATGCATTTCTTCTGTGGACAGCCTAGATGGGGATGGGAGGCTGCAGAGTATCGTTCTCCTCACTCAATACCATGTCCCTGTGCCTCCTTTCTGCCCTCCAGACTTCCGTGGGGCCACCTCTCAACCAAGCAAAGCACAAGTTCTGGTCCTGACTTCCTGAATCCTCTTCGCTCCTCTCAACCCTCTGCCCTCCTCCGGCTCCACCCTTCCACCTCCCACCTCTAGCAGCGGAGTGTCCGCCCCTTGCCGCCATATTGGCTCCGCTCCACCGGAGAGGGTAGAAATACAGGAATCCTGAAACAGGAGATGGGGTTAAAAAAAAAAAAAAAAGGCTACTATTATGGCGAGGCCTCAAGACAGAAAACATCAAAAGCAGCCTTTTGGCATGGAGAAGGTTAATCTCCAGCTGACATATCTGTGCTATATGCCAAAACCATGTCTGTTCACTTCCCAGTCCTGAGTTACAGAAAGCCTTCTTTGAAGGGTGAGGGGTTATTTGTGGGGGAAAAAATATTGGCATATTTTAAAATCTTTGACCCAAAAAGGTTCATGAAAGTTAAAACTCTATAAACTACCATGCAAAAAATATTCCAGGAGGACTTTAGTGTCTATTTACTCTCTTCATAGCAAACTTCTCAGAGCTAAGTTAATTAGCCCCATTTCCTTTTTAGCTCCCTGAAGACATGGTGATTATTGAACCTCTTTGAAGCTTGGATGCTAAGCTTTCACTTTGTTCCCTTTGGCACTTCAAGCTCCAAATAGAAATGTTTGATTTCATAGTTCAAGTGTTACTTCAATGAGTAAAATATTCAGGTTCTCGTTTCTGTGATTTCCTGGCAGCGTTCTCACTGGCAAAAGGGTTTCTGTTTTCTGAACATCATTGCTTCTGATGTGTGGATTTTTCTTGGTCTTTGGCATATTTATAAGACCTTGATGGGAACAGTGGATGATAATTTTAGTGGTGATTCTTTTTTTATAATGAGGGGAAATAATTCTCTGGAGTGAAATCATATTTAAAGTTGCATCAAAGCATAGCAATTCAAATTGCCAGATCTCCAGCAGGAGAAGCATAAAAAGCAACTCTTTCAGTTTTGTTAGAGGAAAGCACTGCATAAGCAGAAACACCAAGGGCTAGGAGTATAGCTCAGTGGTAGAGCACTTCCCTAGCATGCATAAGGTCCTGAGTTCAATCCCTGGTACCAACCACACACACACACACACACACACACACACACACACACACACACACAAAGTACATGCTAACACCAGCTGAGGAAAGGCTTTTGGTTAAAATACAAGTTCAAGGGAGTCTCGTGAAATAATTCTAAGCATTATACCCCACCTTACCCACTTGAGCACAGCTTGCATAGAGCTTTCTAGCATTCAGGATGCTTTTAATATATATCATCTCATTTAACCCACACACAATCTTGTAGGTAGCTGAAGTGTCTGGTTGTAACTAAGAAGAGGGTAGCTCACTGAGCCCGCAAGATCCTTTGTACTCACACCTGGCAGGCATGAGACTGGGGCCAAGAGTAGCATCCCCAAGTCTGTACCTCTTTCTATTATTTTACCATAGGCAAACACCCATAAAGGGGACTAACACCTCCAAATCCAAAGCAGGAACTAGTAGCTTAAAGTGAAGTTTCAGAAAAAGTAGTAGTTACATTACGCAAAGCTCTGTCTGTCTGTCTGTCTCTCTCTCTCTATATATATATATATGTATATATATTTTTATATATGCTTATATATACCTTTATATGTATACATTTTTAACTATAAATATCTATATCTATGTATGTGTGGGTACATATAAAGTTTTTGTCATTATTGTTTTGGGTTTTTTGTTTTTGTTTTTTGCTTAAATCCTACAAAGCAGCATTCATTCACAGTAAGTTACACAAAGGTCCAAAGTTGTTTCCATGCCCCCTGTGCCTGGCCGCAGCAGTTTCCCCTGAATATTTACTGAATGAATGGACAACAGAAAAATGGCTTCCCAGTACCAATGCAGTAGAAGACACACAACATGCAATCTCCAGGCCGGAGAAGGTGGCTCAGCAGGCACCTAAGCCTCCCTGACCACTCAAAGGGATTAAACAAAAGGAGAGGGCAGGAGTGAGGAAAGAGGGCCAAAGTCCAGAAACACGAGGAAGCACCAGAGGCCTGCAGACCTGGAGCAGGAGATTAAGTGCAAGCTAATGAAGACTGAAAAGCTGAATTCCCGGGTGTGGGAAATTTGTGAGGTGAGATTGGCAGCCTCTTTGTGGCAGAGCCATGGGTACTGGGAAAAACTCAGAGTCCTGCAGTTGCCTAGAACAGGGGTCCCCAGGCCCCAGCTGGAGGTTCCTGTTAGGAACTGGACTGCACTGCGGGACATGAGCACAGTAGGCAGGGAGGGAGCAAAGGTTCCTCTGTATTTCCAGCTTCTCCACCCTGCTAGCACCACGCCTGAGCTCTGCCTCTTGTCAGACCAACTGCAGCCTTAGATTCTCATAGGAGCGCAAACCCTACTGTGAATTTTGCGTTTGAGGGCTCTAGGTTGTGTGCTTCTTTGAATCATTCAAAACCACACTCCCACTGCTGTCCATAGAAAAAAATGTCTTCCACAATGCTAAAAAGGTTGGGACCATAAAAGTTAAAAAAAAAAAACTGATGCCCGTCCCCATCCTCCAACAGTGGGTCAGTGCCACCCTCCCCTGGTTGTTCTAGCAAACACTGACTTGCCATGCCCCTCCATAAATGAATCCAGGGTCACCCCACAGATCAGAGGCAGGGGTCGGCATGGAGCACAGGGTGTGACTCCGGGTCTGTGCTGGCCCTTGCATCCTCCAGCCCCCAGGACTGAGCTCAAGGTCGTGCAGCTTGCCATCTGGCTCCCTTACCCTCTCCTGCCCACAGGTCAGCATCACAGTGATCGAGGCCCGGCAGCTGGTGGGCTTGAACATGGACCCCGTGGTGTGTGTAGAGGTGGGCGATGACAAGAAGTACACATCCATGAAGGAGTCCACGAACTGCCCCTACTATAATGAGGTCAGTGGCCCTGGGCCCAGGTGGAGAAAGGGGCTACTGAATGTGGCATGAGGCTAGGCACCAGCCACACCCAGGCTCACTAGGAGGTGGGGTGCCAAGGGGCACAAAGGGTTAGCAGCCCAGCCAGTTACAACCCCAGAACACTGGCATGCAGTGCCACACCCTGTGGGCCCCCGACTAGATCCCAGGCTGACCCTGCTCTGGTTAGAAGCCACCTGTTGAAATGAGTGTGGCCTGGGTTCTCCTGTGCAGCTCCTAGCAGTGCTTGTGAGCAAACCTTGTGTCTCACCAGGCCAGAGCATGGGGGCTGTGTACCTCATTCCAGCTCAGCCTGTGGTGGGACTGGCACCATTAACAGGCTTTTCCATATGCCGGATGCTCTTCCAAATGCACTAGGCACATCGGCAACCCACTGTTAATCCCACTTCACACCTGGGGATGCCGAGAGCCCTGCAGCGGGACCTGGCTGGTCGGGTCGGGGTACTCACCCTCTTTGTCCTCTGCCTTCATGGTCAAATGAACTGCTTGGGGCTTCCTGCCAAAGCCCTGGACTTGGGGTGTGACAGACACACTGCTACCCACACCTGCTCTTTTCACATGGTTGAGGCCACGTGGAGGGTGAGGGCCAGGCAGGGAGAGGTGCCAAGCTGGCTCACGCGAGGCGTCTGTGTCCTGAGGCTTGGGGAGGGCCGAGGGCGCCCTCAGGTCGCTGTGGGTGTCATCCAGTTGTGCACCAGCAGTAAGGACTCCTGGGCACAGCCCCATCCTTCAGCCCTAGCCTGACCAAACCCTTGTATGCAGCCAACCACAAAGACACCCCATTCTCCCAGCTGGTTTCCTGCCAGCCCCCAGGACTGAACATCACTACCCAGGACCCCATCAACGCTGGGTGGAGTCAGGACATTCAGATGGACACTTCCCTGACTGGAAAAAGCCTCTGGCCTAGATAAGGATCGACTTTCCCCTGATGGGTATAGAGATAGATCCTCTGTGGCTACTTGATAGTGGGAAAGCCACGTTTGAGGGCTCACCTTGCACCAGGCCCATGCACTTCATATTTTAGTCAAACTCATTCATTCATTTACTTTCTCCTTCCAATGCACAGAGCTAAGTCCCAGCTTTGCAAGTCCCCCAGCAAACTCCTACTCATCCTGCAAGACCTCATTCAAATATCACTGCCACTGAGCAGCCTTCCTTGTCCCCTCTAGATCAGAAGTCAGCACTCCCTCCCTCTGTGGTAGTAACATCCCTGAATTGCAATTGGTCCTTCGAGTCTCTGTCTCCTGGTGACTGGAAGCTCTGGTATTCTACATCTATGGGCCCCAGCTCAGAGCCATTCTGCTGGGTGCGTTCTCACCAAGTGGCCAGAACTGCCTTTACTGAACGTGCGTGCAAGTAGGCAGTGTGGGGACTGCAGAGACGGACAGTTTCTGCCCTCGCATGTCACTTCCTAGCTGCTTCCTGGAAACCCTTTTCCAAACTTTGTATTTGTACCCTCTGTGGCCAGTCATTCACCTCTCCTTTGGACCATTTCACATTTGCTGCCGATCACCTCTGTGTCCTTTACACAAACCCAAGGAGCTCCGATTTTGTTTCTATTTCCCTTACACCCAGGCTTCTCACTACCATGGCTACTTTGGAAGGGATAATTCTTTGCAGCAAGATTGCCCTGTGTGTCGTAGGATGCTGAACAACACCCTTGGCTTCTACTCACAAGATGCCAATAGCACCTGTCCCCACCCCTGGTTGTAGAAACCCAAAATATTCCCAGATATTGCCAAACATGCCCCGGGAGTTCAGCTCCCCAGCCAGACTATCATTCTACACTGTCTTGCTGTGATTCCTTCTAGCCCCATGGCCAGGGTTCGCTATGCCTTTTCTTCTCTTCCTCTTCAGTGAAGGATCCCCTCATGGTCATCCGTATGTACTGCTTTTGGTGAACTCTGAGCTGGCAGGAACCTTCTTCTGGTTCCACTAAGACAGCAGAAGCAAGTGAGAACAGTCAACATGACTTAGCAGATTTCTGAGAATTCCAAAAGCCAGTTATGCTCAGGAAATACAAGGAATCAGAGCTCGTGGGATCCTGGCCCTGGCTTAGCTAGCTCGTTCCCATGGGGCTGGCCTGGCTCCAGGCACCTGGTCCGATGCCCTGCTGCCTGGCTCTGACCCTGGCTGTGTGAAAGGAGGCTCGTGACCTGTGCCTTCGCAGAACAACCTGCTGACCATGGACCAAGCCAAGAGCCTCCTCTCTGTGCACCTGGTCCTGCCCGGCCACCTTGAGAGCCCTGGCCCTCCTGCCTCTCCCCTTTGCCTTCTCTTTCAAGAATCTGGCATGGTACCATTCATCAGCACCCCAATTTTGTCTTAGTCTTCCTTCTGGCTCCTTTTCCTTTGCCTGCACGGTGTCCTACCAGAGCAATCATGGCAAGCCATGGGTGCTTGAGGCAGGAAGGCCAAGTCAGGCATCCGTGGTTAATCCAGGTCCTTCCCCACTCCCACAGGCCTCTCCAGGGCCGCCTTTTCTCTCCTCTGTTCCCAGTGACCATGAGAATCGTCCCCACACCCTTCCTCCCAGTCACATTTCACCCTTGCAGTCACTTTTGCTCCTTGGTGTCACTGAAACCACTCCACACCAGGTCACCGAGGCCCTCACTCCTGCGGATGGTTCGCTGTCATCCTCGCTCCCTTGGCTGCTCGGCTCCTCCACCCCGCTGCCTGCCTGCTTCCCTGGGAGCCCTCAGCCTCTCTCTGGCTTCCCCCTCTCTCCTGTTCTTCCTCCCCAACCTCCTTCCCTGCCATCACTTCTTCTACTCCGTCCTGGGCCTGCTTGCCCTCCAGTGCTCTCCTCCAGCCTCTCCTCCATCCCACTGCTCCAGTCACCAGCCCCATACTGATGACCCCCAACCTTCACCCACCTCTCTAAGGCTGAGACACCCCCAACCCCAGCCAGTGTAGATCTGTCACTGCCATGCAGAGCCATGAACAAGAATACTTGGGTGGAATGAGCGTCTGACCAGGTTGTCATTTTAACTTCATAACACACCTTCCAGTCCCCTGGAGTGGTTCAACATGGGGGCCTAAGATCATCATCCCCATATGACAGGAGTAAGCTGAGGCTCAGGAAAGGAATCCACGGGCCCCACAGCCTCAGCAAGGTGTGGCTGGCTCCAAAGCTGGCACTTTTACCCACAGCACTAAGGGTGAGGCTCTTAGAGCCAGGAGCACATGCCCTTGGGGTATTTATCCAAGGCAGGTGGGCAACCTTTCTCCCCTTTCCCTGCCCACAATCACCAAAGCAGTGGTCCCTCTGGTCACTGTCCACATCCTTATCCTCAGTCCCTGCAGCTGGCCAGGAGACAGGGGTAGGGACTTCAAGTGTCCATGGGCAACTGGCAGCATGACAGGACAGTTCACACCACAGCATTTTACATTTACAGCTGAGTAAGTGTTTCATACATAGTAGTCGGTCCTTTCTAAGACTTGCCCAGTTTTACCTTTTAACCTCTCTGAAGTTGGGACACATCTTTCAACCAGCACTGTGGTTTAATGGCAATGTCTATGTGGCCCTCAAACCATGGTGTGTCTCACAGTCAAGGGTATTTTCAATATGGTAATGTATTTATGGTGTCTCATCACAGTCCCATAAAAAGATCTGAGGTGGATGTCAATACCCCCACTTACAGTTCAAGAAACTGGGGTTGAGAGAAGGTGTCACAGAAGACTTCCCCATCAGAAAGAGGCATAACTGGGACCTGAGCCCAGGTGTCCTAGCTTTCCAGCCACGGGACCTTCTGAGCATAGCACATCAGTGTAGACCATTCCAGCTACTGGTAGTCGATGGCCCAGCCTCCACCTGGGATGCTCAGAACTGGGTGGGCCGCCACTGTTGTTCTTCTGAAACTTGGGACTCAGGGGAAGTGGCAGGGGTGCAGATAGGCACTGCCAGGAGGGAGGGGCCCACCAGTGACAGCAGCCTGGGTCCTTCCCCCTCCAGTACTTCGTCTTCGACTTCCATGTCTCTCCTGATGTCATGTTTGACAAGATCATCAAGATCTCGGTGAGTGCAGAGCAGCCCTGGAAAGTAGGGCCACTAACTTAAGCTGTGCCTTCCTGCAACACTGGATGGTGTCCCCTCTGGCTGGGAAAATCATGAAAAGCCAGCCCCTTGCCCAGATACCCAGGTGTGCAAAGTGGTGCACAGGCTGGACTGTAGACATTTTTTAATCCAGTGCCTCTGCAGAGTGTGCACCCTGCTCACCCATGCATGGCAGCCAGCAGTAAACAAGTGAGCCGGAGAGGCTGATTCTCAGCCTCAGCGAGCCACTCTTGCCCTGCCAAGCCCCCTTCTGCCTCACCATGAAGCTTGAGTCCCCAGAAAGACCTAGGTGGTGCCAGTATCAGTGGCACCCTCTACGGAAGACCTCACCCATCCCCTGGCTGACTGGTGGCTGCTGGTTCTGCCCGGAAGGTGATTCACTCCAAGAACCTGCTGCGCAGTGGCACCCTGGTGGGTTCCTTCAAAATGGATGTGGGGACCGTGTACTCCCAGCCCGGTGAGTAACCCCACACAGCCTGGTTAGCCACAGTGCATGCAGCTCAGGAACCGGAAGCCCATGGCCCTCCCTACTGTGGCAGTTCCCAGGCTTAGCCCAGCGAGGGCCATAGACGCAGTCTGGTGACTGTTGGTACACAGCCATCTGGCATGTGGAGAAGCAATGTGCACAGTCTGGGTACAGACGTAGGAGCAGTGTGTACCCATCTGGCAGGAGATGCTCCCTACCAGGACAGCAACTCCCAGCAGAGAATGACTGCTCAGCTGTGTGTGGAAGGCAGACTGCTGCATCACCTGCTGTGTACCTTAAGGGTACAGTGAGCAAGGCTGCCCTCACAGCCTGGGCTGCCACTGCCTGACCAGAAAGAACCCCCTGCCCTACTTACAGGATCTCCATTGTCCCCCTTTTCAGTTGAGGGGCCTGAATCCAGAGATGCACAGGGGCAGGGGGCATCAGGTTGTGTGCCTCAGTGCCCCGTCAAGTCACACTGCAGTCCAAATGTGGTGAAGGCAGTCAATGCCACATATGATGCAACAACTTCTGAGGGACTCTAGGCTCTAAAATGCCCTTTGCAAGGGACTCAGGCCACATGAGGAGCAGCCATATGGGACTGTGGCTGATCTCCCGGTGTGTGGTACCCATGAGTCAATACCGGATGGAGTTGGAGAGCGCACCCGAGGCATGGCCCAGAGGGTTGTCACCATGTGGTCAACTCAGGGACACCTCATGTTCCTGAAGCGAACCAGTTATACAGAATGTAGTGATGACTCTATCTTTTTTTTTTTTTGGTACCGGGGATCGAACTCAGGACCTTGCACTTGGCCAGCAGGCTACTTGTGCCACTGAGCTATTTCCCTGGCCTAATGACTCTATTATAACAATACAAATTTTCACCCAAATTATCACATTTGACGTTCACAAAACAGGTAGGCAGCAGCACCCCTTCCCATTTTACAGAAGAGATAGATGAGACTCAGAGAAATGAAGAGACATGGAGTTGACTCTAAACAATTAGTACTTTCTTGAGGTTCTTCCTGGTAGACCCTCAGCTGGTGCACGTTATAACTGAGACTGAGGTCAGGGAATGTAAGTGTAATCCCCGAGACCATACACATAGAAACCACAAAATCCTACAGCATTTAAGCCTCATGAGACCTTGAAAACAGCTAGCCTGATCTCTATTAAGATAGAGTGGCCCAGGGTAATGAAGGAACTCGCTCAAAGTCTGGGCCTGGAACCTGGGTCTCCTGGCTCCCCTGCCAGTGCCTTCCCCACTGCCCTGCACCTATCATGGACCTCAGGGAAGGGCAGCACTGCTGATCGTCAAGTGCTGTCGGGCGCACAGAAGGCAGTCTGCTGTCGTATCTGCTCCCCCAGTGTCATGCACAGCCGTAGGCCACTGGTTCTGAAAATCCCTGGCATCCTTGAGCATGACCTCCTGCCAGGACCAAACAGTGCTCCTGGCACCATCTGCAGGCCTAGCTCTGGAAAAAGACACAATGCGGAGCTTAGAATGCACCTCTGGGCTTCTGGGTGGTTGAGTCCTTGTCAGGAAAGCACTCTCTTGTGAGGCAGCAGAAAGTACCAAGCGATGGACAAAAGTGCTGTCCCAGCAAGTCTAGCCCTCCCAACCCCATGTAGGCATCCTGATTCCCATTTCACACTAAGGAAGCTGAGGCTCACAAGGCTGATATAGCTGGTCTAAGGCTCGGTAGGAGCAAGGGGCAGAGCCCAAGCCTGTGTGGGCCCAAGCCCAGGCCCTCTGCTGGGGTAATGCACCCCCAGCTGGGCAGCTTCTGCTGAATCTGCCCCTGAGCCTGGTGCTCTCCCAGAGGGTGAAGTCTCACAGTCCCTCCTTTCAGGGGTGGCACAGGTATCCTCACTCTGACCCTCTGCGGTTTTATGTGGCCTTCTTGATGAGCCCTTGGTTCTTGAGCCGCCCAGGGAGGTATGAGGCAGGTGCTCCTGGGGACATAGGACTCCTGGGTGCTGTTGGGAAGTACTGGGTGGTGGCAGGACCTGTGGAACTGGAAGGACTTCGCAGGCGGGACAGGAAGCTGTTCAGTTACCACTGCTCTCTGATGAGGGAGATGAGGTTATAGGTCGCAGAGGCAGCCTGGGATGCTGGCAGCTTCCACACCTGGCAGGTGTCAGCAGCAGGCAGGAAGCTGGGTAGGAAGCACAGAGCTGGGGGCTTAGGTTGTTCTCCCATCTCCAGTCTGAGAGCACATGGTGGCGGGACTGGAAGTGGCTCTGAGGTCATCAGTCCTGTGTGTTCCCCACACAGGGATCCCCACAGCAGCATTGCTGACAGTCACCTAAGACCTCCCAGCAGTAGGACGCTCCCCAGCCCCTACTTTAGATATCTCCACTTGGTCTACGTCAGACCTAAACCTGTCACCCACACCCTTCACCCATGTTTACACATCGGCCTTTCAGGACAAAAAAAAAAATTCCTCTTCAAATAACTTTTAAGTTTGAAGACAGAGTTCCTGTCAGTCCTGAGTCTTATTCTTTCCTTGCAAAACTTTCAGTTCATCTGCACTTCTGCCCAGCCACCCATCCACATACCATCCACCCATCTGTCCGCATATCAATGGATCCTGCTCTCCGTGTATCCACCCACCATCTATGCATCCATCCATTTAGATAGCCAGGCAGTCCAGCACTGCCCTCTGTCCATCTCCCCACTCCCAAGCCATCTAGCTACCTGTCCATCTCTCCGTCCTACACATGTCCGTGCAGGCAAGGTCCTGAGTGCTCAGGGAATGCCTAGGACATCGCCCCTCGTCCTGAGCCCCACAGCGCAACACCCACAGAAAACTACAGAAAGAAGGTTCACAAGGCAAAACTTTTCCTCTGCTTCCCTCTTCCTGAGCACTAGGTGTAACGGTGATTCTCAGCCTATCCTTTCACCCACACTGTCATAAGGTCCTGGGGACACTGGGGTGGGACTATCGCTTTTTTGGAAGCCATCAGTTTAAACACAGAGACAAACAGCACACAGATGATCACAGAGAGATCAAAGGACGGTACGTGGGTCTCTGAGAGCACCAGAGAGGCCAGGTGCCAGTCTTCTGAGGAAGTCAGGGAAGGCTGCATGGAAGAGGAGACCTTTAGCCACAGTGAGTAAAAGTTTGCAGCTGAACAAGGAAGGGAGAGAAGGCAAGAGAATTCCCAGCTCACAGGGCAGCAGACACACAGCTTGGAGGTGGGTCAGTGGCAAACTCAGAGACAGTGTGTGCTTTGCCTGGGGAGCACCTGGCGGGGAGCCACACGAGGCAGGGAGGCCAGTAGCAGGAGCCCCACACCAGACCTTTGGGCTTCGCCCAGAGCCTGCAGCCTGAAAAGAGCGGCACCTCCAGTTTAGCAGGCCTAGGTGGCAGCTGTGTGGGGCCGGCTTCAGAGATGGCAGAAAGAGCTAGCATGTGGAGAAAGCAGCTAGGAAGCTGCCTGCCTCAAGGTCACGCAAGTATCTGGGTGCAGGACCTGGTTGGGCGTTGGCTGTGGGCCAGGGGCAGAGGCCTTGCCCTCCTCTGTCTTTGGCCCAGATACAGGCAGAGTTGTGGTCTCAGGTCTCAGGGACCTGACAATCTGGACTGCAGGGGCCAAGAAGGTGCTCAGCACATTCATGTGACAGTATCTTGGGTCCTGCTCCCCCTTCAGTGCTGAGGGCACTGGGGGGAAGAGGTCAACCGTGCCCACTACCCAGAAGCTGGGCACAGGGTCCACCAGCCCCTAGCTCTACAGACTCTCCCAGTATGAGCCCGGCCACCCTGCAGCCTGCCCTGGAGGGTGGGGACACTGGGTGCAGCTTCCCCCTCATGCCACAGAGCACCAGTTCCATCACAAGTGGGCCATCCTGTCCGACCCTGATGACATCTCTGCCGGGCTGAAGGGCTACGTGAAGTGTGATGTCGCCGTGGTGGGCAAGGGAGACAACATCAAGACGCCACACAAGGCCAATGAGACTGATGAAGATGACATTGAGGGGTGAGCCCCCCCCCATCTTACCCCAGCTCCTGGAGATGGGACCCTGCTCCACCTTCCCCCAGAGGGAGCTGCTGGTGCGGACTCAGCCTAGCACTCTGGCCATACATCTTCTTTATCCAGAGATGGGTGGTGGTAAAGGGTGGTGGCCAGCGTTGCTGGAGGATGATTAAAAATGACCGAGCTGTCTGTCAGGTGTGGTGGTGCATGCCCATGATCCCAGATGCTTGGGAGGCTGAGGCAGAAAGACCTCAAGTTCAAGGCCAGAGCAGTTTAATGAGACTCTATCTCAAAATTAAAAGGGCTGGGTCTGTAGCTCAGTGCTGGAGCACCTGTTTAGCATGTGTGAGGTCCTAGATTTCATCCCCACTACCACAAAACAAAACTTGGTTAAATATATGTATATATAAAGATTAGTATCACAATACACAAAGTATTGTGACCTATTTGAGCTTGTTTCCTTGGGAACTGGATACTATGATTACCACCACAACAGCGTGGAAACCGAAGCTCAGGGAGATGGATTTTCCCAGCTCCTTCAAGCGCATGGACACCATGAACTCCAGGGGCTTTAATTCGAGTCTGGGCCTTCTCTGGCCTCAGACAGTGCCAGGCAGGCCCAGGAGGAAGCAGCTGCACAGGTCCGGCTTGGGGCCCTGGACCTAGCCAAATGGCCCTCGCTGGATGTGCCCGCAGGAACTTGCTGCTCCCTGAGGGGGTGCCTGCTGAACGCCAGTGGGCCCGCTTCTACGTGAAAATTTACCGCGCGGAGGGGCTGCCCAGGATGAACACAAGCCTCATGGCCAATGTGAAGAAGGCTTTCATCGGCGAAAACAAGGATCTTGTGGACCCTTACGTGCAAGTCTTCTTTGCTGGCCAGAAGGTACATGGGTACAAGATGCAGGAGGCTGAGCTGGCAGAGACAGGGGTGGGGACCTGGGGCAAATAGGACACAAAATGGGAAACCTCTGGCTGGGGCTGGGAGGGTAAGACCAGGCTAGGAATCATCTCAGTCACCCACAGGGCTCGGAGAATCCTCCCTGCGGGCAGGGAGAGGAGGAGAGTTGTCAAGGAGAGGATGGGAAGCCGTGGAGAGAAGTATGCACATGCGCCCAGACCCTGACCCGCCCCTCCTCCTCCAGGGCAAGACTTCAGTGCAGAAAAGCAGCTATGAGCCCCTGTGGAATGAGCAAGTTGTTTTCACAGACCTGTTCCCTCCGCTCTGCAAACGCATGAAAGTGCAGATCCGGGATTCCGACAAGGTCAACGATGTGGCCATCGGCACCCACTTCATCGACCTGCGCAAGATTTCCAATGAAGGAGACAAAGGTCAGACACTGGATCCCCGGAGGCTGAGCAGGGATGGAGGGGAGGAGTCGCTGAGATCCTCTAAACACACCACCACTACCGTCATCCGAGACCTCAGCCTGACAGGGCCTTATCTGCAGCCTCTGCCTCCAATGCAGACTCGAGGTAGCTCTCACGCTCAGAGATGCTCAGAGCCGCATGGATTTGACAGTTAGAGTACCCTTTGGGCTTGTTTTCCTGCCTGAAAAATGAATATAAGAATCATTATCTAATACGTGCAGTGCTGATTCACGCCTAAGTACAGTGTATATGCCGTATGTATGTGATTACACTATTGACAGCAGTACCAAGTAAGGGCAGTAATGCCTATCTGTGCACCTAGGCACTGTACTGGCACAAGGACCAGAGTGAGATGAGATCCTGCTCTGTCCTCTGAATGCTTGCTGGGTACTGGGGAGACAGATGTGCTACCAAATGGCCAAAACATCAGGCAGAAGACCCAAAAGGCCATGTGCTGTCATAGCCCACAGATATGAAACATCTAGAATGGCAATTCCACAGAGATAAGGGGTAGATTAGTGCTTCTCAGGACAAACGGAGAGAGGCCTGGACTAGCTGCTCAGAGATGCAGGGTTTCTTTTAGGGGGCTGGAAGTGTTAGGGAATCAGACAATGGTTGCATAACATGGTAAGGGTATTTAAAACCACCAAAATGTGCTTTATTATTTATTTTTAATTTTTTGGTACTGCAGGCTAAACCCAGGGCCTCATGCTTGCTAGGCAAGGGCTTTACCTCTGAGCTAACTCCCCAATCAGTGTATTTTACTGTTTTTATTTTGGGATTTGGGGATAGTGGGTTGCTTTTCTTTGTTTTTTTTTTTTTAATTTACACTTTGAAGTGGTGAATTTTATGTTACATGAATTATAGCTCATTTTTTTTAATGTTACAAATATTTTTAGAAACAGACAATAGGGCAAGGAGTGTAGCTCGATGGTAGAGTACTTGCCTGGCGTGCACAAGGCCCTGGGTTCAATGGCCGGTGCTTCAAACAAACAAAAAACAGGAAGAACAAAAACCAAACGCATAAGGTTGAATTGGATCTACCTGAGGCAGAATTCATTAGATGAGGCTTAACAAATCCCGACTGTGAGAGACGTGAGGTGTGAATTAACCAGGCACTGGGGAGCTTCCTAAGGAAGGAACAATTCTAGGCAGACAGAAAGGAAGGCCCTTCAGAAAGGAGAAGGGATCACCTAAGCAGGGGAGATGCGTGGAGACAAACACCTGCAAAGACAGCAAAGGCTGCTGATCTGAGGCGTTCAGGAGGAGTCGGAACCTGTCAGAAGACTGACTGTTTGTGGCCCCTGCTCCGCGCCCCAAGAAGCAGAGAGCATGGCTTATATCTCCCATGCACAGCTCAGGCCCCCAAAGAGAATAAGCAGATCCAAGACAGTGCCCATAATGCGAGGGTGTGAGACCACCCTAGACCTGGTTGGTGCCCAGCAGGCACAGAGCTATCAGCTCAGCAGCCAGGAGGCAGAAGCCAGGAGGCCCACACCTGAATGAGCCCTGGATGTGACATGGTCCCTCCCTCTCCATTTTGCAGGCTTCCTGCCCACACTGGGCCCTGCCTGGGTGAACATGTATGGTTCCACACGCAACTACACGCTGCTAGATGAGCACCAGGACCTGAATGATGGCCTGGGGGAGGGCGTGTCCTTCCGCGCCCGCCTCATGCTGGGCCTGGCAGTGGAGATCTTGGACACCTCCAACCCCGAGCTCACCAGCTCCACAGAAGTGCAGGTGGAACAGGCCACGCCTGTCTCAGAGGTGAGGCCCTGGGGGCCGTGCTGTCCCCCACATGCCGCCATGGCAGCCCAAGTCCCAGACTTTGTTCACTGCTGCCCTGTCCACCTTGGAAGGCTGGACCCCAGCTTGAGGCCTCTCCTGGGGCGCAGAGGTCCTCATTTGGCCCCTCAGCAGGGTCTCTACGCTTGTCCTCTGCCTGCCTGTAGCCTTCCCAAGCCTGTGGCCACCCACTCCCAAGATGGTGCCTTGCTGGGACCCTCTTCCCGGCCATGGCTGTCCCTGTGGGTACAGAGCCAATCCCTCTTTCCAGGGACAATACAGGCTGAGGGCTGCAGGGTTTGGGCTGCCTACCCCTGAAGCTGGGTAGGAGACCCCCACTTTCAGCCTAAGGGGCTACCCATGAGACATTATACGGAGGCCTGACCCAGGTGTGCTGCCCCACTGAGGCTTAGGCATGGTTTGAACCACCTCTCCACAGAGCTGCACAGGGAGAATGGAAGAATTCTTTCTATTTGGAGCCTTCCTAGAGGCCTCAATGATTGACCGGAAGAATGGAGACAAACCAATCACCTTTGAGGTGACCATAGGTGAGCACTGGGCTCACAGGGGAGGGGAAGGAGGCCTTGGGCTGCCGCTGGTGGCTGTTCCACTTGCACCCCAGCCTGTGGGGAATGGACAGTGCTGACCTCTCCCCCCTGAGTGTCCTCAGGCACATGTGCAGCACCTTTGTGTCTGCGCAGAAGTGTGCTTATTCCCCGGGGAGACTGACCATCGCTCCACCTAGAGGGCTGAGCTCTGTTTGGGACATGAGAAAGAAAGGAGAGGCCTGAGGGGGCTGGAGAGGAGAGGGAGGGAACCCAGACTTCGCCCTGGGCTCGGTTTTATGCTCACAGACCTTACAGGGGTCGGGGGCATGGGAACCTTTCTCTGGCTGGTGTTCCGTCTTGTTCGAGCCCATTCCCTGGCTTTCCCTCTTCCCAAAGCAACACCTGGATGAGGCAGGTGGACCCGAGAGAAAAGCACTCCAGGCTCTCTGATGCCCCCTTCTTTGTCCAGGCAACTATGGGAATGAAGTTGATGGCCTGTCACGACCCCAGAGGCCTCGGCCCCGGAAGGAGCATGGGGATGAGGAGGAAGTAGACCTGATCCAGCACTCGAGTGATGATGAGGGTGATGATGGTGGGGATCTGGCCTCGGTGTCCTCCACCCCACCCATGCGTCCCCAGATCACCAACAGGTGGGCCCTGCCCCTGCTCTCACCATTCCATGGCCTGGCCCTCTCACCTCCCTAGTCCCTGACCTCAGTCTCCCTCTCCCCTGCCTCCACCAAGAAACTACTTCCATCTGCCCTACCTGGAATGCAAGCCCTGCATCTACATCAAGAGCTGGTGGCCAGACCAGCGCCGCCGCCTCTACAATGCCAACATCATGGACCACATCGCAGACAAGCTGGTCAGCAGGGTGGAAGCCTAGGGCCCCAGGGAAGAGGCGTGTCTGCCAGGCCATCTGTCCTGTCTGCTGTGGGGTGGGGGGTGGGAGGGCTGCAGGAACATGTTGTCCCAGGGCTCTCCTGTGGAGTCTGAAGATCCCAGCCCCTCAGGCCCCAGGGTGCCCTGGAGACCACTGGTCTGGCCTCTGCCCCTGGCCTGCACCAGGCCCTCTACAACCCTGACTCCTACTCAGCCCACTGTGGTCAACAACCAGAGGTAACTTCTTCCTCCAGGAATTCAAGACTCACAACTACCAAGTTCTCCAGGTTCTACAGCAGAACCTGGGGAACCCGTTGTTTCCTTGTGATAAATAAGAAGTAGCCCTGTGCAAGGTCTCAAGTCACTAGGTCCCTCTGGTTTGCAGGAGGAAGGCCTGAATGATGTGCAGGAGATGATCAAAACGGAGAAATCCTACCCTGAGCGCCGCCTGCGCGGGGTGCTGGAGGAGCTCAGCAGTGGCTGCCAGTGAGCGGCGGGTGACAGATGGGCAAGCAGGAGGTTGGGGGACTGGGGTCAAGGGGCCCCAGGCCAGGGATGAGTGAGGAACCAGGTGCCTACAGGCTGAGCCCTGGCCCCCTCACCCGCAGCCGCTTCCTGTCCCTCGCCGACAAGGACCAGGGCCACTCCTCTCGCACCAAGCTGGACCGGGAGCGCCTCAAATCATGCATGAGAGAGCTGGTGAGGATGCAGCTGGACCCTGGGGTTCCAGGAAGGGTCTGGTGGTGAAAAGAGGGCCTCTTCCCTTGAGAACACAGCCCTGCCACTGGGGCCAAGGGGTCCCTAGCAGCTGAGCTCCCCTCACACACCCTCCCCACAGGAGAGCATGGGGCAGCAGGCCAAGAGCCTGCGCGCTCAGGTAAAGCGGCACACGGTGCGCGACAAGCTGAGGCTGTGCCAGAACTTCCTGCAGAAGCTGCGCTTCCTGGCAGATGAGGTGTGTGCATGCTAGAACAGGGCTGTGTAGAGAGGGCCGCCCCGACCCCCTGGGAGGCCCCACTGCTCTAATGGACAAGGCTAAACAAGTTGGTGGGCGAGGAAAGAGGACTGGGCTGGGGTCCCCCATCCCTGAGGCCCCCCACCTCTCCTGCTCCAGGCCAGGTCCCAAGGGGCCCTGCAAGCTCAGGGTGTCTCTGATCCCCACGCCCTTACCACAGCCCCAGCACAGCATCCCTGACGTCTTCATCTGGATGATGAGCAACAACAAGCGCATCGCCTACGCCCGCGTGCCCTCCAAAGACCTGCTCTTCTCCATCGTGGAAGAGGAGCTGGGCAAGGACTGCGCCAAGGTCAAGACGCTCTTCCTCAAGGTGCCACAGGGGCTGCGCTGGGGTGGTGATGAGCCTGCATCCCTGCTGGGACTCCCCAGGGTCTGGCAGGCCTGTGCTGATGGGGTGGAGCCCTCATCCAGCGGGTGTTCAGAGAAGGGCTGAGAGAGGGAATTGGAAGGGGAGAGGGAAGGCGCTGGGCAGCCCCACCCTGTGCACCCCTCTCTGCCCCCGCCCCAGCCCAGCCCAGGGCCGTGGTTGGGAAGGGGCAGGCAAGGCCCTGACCAGCCCTGCCCACCAGCCCCGTCCCTGATCCACCCCGGGGGAGGGGGGGCTGGCAGCTGTCAGGCCCTTGGTGACCCAGAACCTGCCCCCAGCTGCCAGGGAAGCGGGGCTTCGGTTCAGCAGGTTGGACTGTACAGGCCAAGCTGGAGCTCTACCTGTGGCTGGGCCTCAGCAAGCAGCGGAAGGATTTTCTGTGTGGCCTGCCCTGTGGCTTCGAAGAGGTCAAGGCGGCCCAGAACCTGGGCTTGCACTCCTTCCCACCCATCAGCCTGGTCTATACCAGTGAGTGAGATCTTTCTGGCCTGAGCCAGCCCCTCTCAGCCCTCACCAGGAGGGCCACGGGACTGCTGCTCCATGCCAGGGAGGGCTGCGGGACTGCTGCTCCGTCCTTAGCCCTCGCTTCCCCACAGAAAAACAGGCCTTCCAGCTCCGAGCCCACATGTACCAGGCCCGCAGCCTCTTTGCCGCCGACAGCAGTGGGCTCTCTGACCCATTTGCCCGAGTCTTCTTCATCAACCAGAGCCAGTGCACAGAGGTGAGGGCTCAGGGGTACCGACTGGGAGGGCTCTGAGTCTGCGGGCCCAGTCTCCCAGCACCCCAGCTTCTTGGATAGGATCCTTGCAGGTCACTGCAGGCCCAGGCCTTGCTGTTAAAAGCTGCTTTGGTTGGGGCTCTATCACAAGGCAGGAAAGATGGAAGATTCTGGTAAAGTGTTAGGAACAGATTGCATGTTAGCCTTGACTTCAGAATTTTTGAAAGCTGGGCATGGTGGTGCACGCCTATAATCCCAGCACTCGGGAGGCTGGGGCAGGAGAATTGCTGTGAGTTGCAGGCCAGCCCGAGCTGTATAGTGAGACCTTGTCTCAAAAAGCTAAAAAAAAAAAAATTCTGAAAAAGCTGAGGAACCTGGCATCCTGCCCCCAATTCCCTGGAACCCCTGACTAGGCATGATGTCTGCCGACCCACCACCACTTGTTCCTCATCTTCATGCCATCCTACAGGTGCTGAACGAGACACTGTGTCCCACCTGGGACCAGATGCTGGTGTTTGACAACCTGGAACTGTACGGTGAAGCTCATGAGTTGCGGGACGACCCTCCCATCATTGTCATCGAGATCTACGACCAGGACAGCATGGTATGGGTGTACACTGGTGCCAGAGGCCACTGGGAGTAGCATAGCTCCCCCTTGTCCCCTGCATGCCACCTGCTTTGAAGCCATGCTGGCCACTTCGCCAACACCCTGCTGGGATTCTGGGCTGCTGACCAGCCACTCTGGGCCCTTCTGCCTGCCTGCTACAGCCTGGCCCTTTCCCGGCATCCCCTGCCCTGGCACAGACACACTGAGCAGAATATGGATCGGGGGTCCCGTTGTCACCAGGCTGCCCACTCCAGGAGCCCCTGCTCCCCTGCACACCTATCACAGTCTGTAACAGTCTCTCAGCTTCCCTGGAGGGGTTCTGGAGTGACAGTGAAAGATGGGGGTAACCCCTGAGATTTGGGGAGCCACTGACTCTCCCTACAAACCACCTCAGATGTTGAGGTGGCTGAGAGAGATCTAGACTCATTTCTGCTCCTGAATCCTTCACCTGCCATTCGCTTCCTGGTCTTGAAGCCTCAGGCAGCCCCTCAGACTTGATTTCCCCATCTGTGAAGTGGGGTGAGCTCACCTGTCCTTACAACAACGAGCAGGCTGTGGTAAGGACCAAATGAGGTCTCAGGTATGAAATGTTTGGTAAACAGCCTGAGGTGCCCGAGGCCACCTGGGCTGTTTGTTGTGCCAGGGCAAAGCCGACTTCATGGGCCGGACCTTTGCGAAGCCCCTGGTAAAGATGGCAGATGAGGGGTACTGCCCGCCCCGCTTCCCGCCCCAGCTCGAGTACTACCAGATCTACCGTGGCACTGCCACAGCCGGAGACCTGCTGGCTGCCTTTGAGCTCCTGCAGGTGGGTGCAGGAAGAGGGCACGTGCTTGGGCCTCTCTCCTCCTGATGCTGCTATGGGGCCAGTGGGCCAGATTGGGAGCCTCATTTGGCTTCCCTATCTCCCCTGATCTCGTGACAAACACGGCTCCCCGGTGTGTGACCTGTGACCCCCGCTTCCCAGATTGGACCAGCAGGGAAGGCTGACCTGCCCCCCATCAATGGCCCAGTGGACATGGACCGAGGGCCCATCATGCCTGTGCCTGTGGGCATCCGGCCCGTGCTCAGCAAGTACCGCGTGGAGGTGCGTGAGGGCCTGTGCTACCTTCCTGTCCCTGCCTGGCGTCTCCCATCCCAGCTTCCTCTCCATCAAGGGCCACATGCGCTCCTCGGATCTCCACCCGCCCCCGGCCCCCACTGCCCACTCTTCACTTTCAGATAAGGAGACTGAGGGCCCAGGAGGGGAAATAGCTTGCCCACGGTCACCCCAGAGCTCACAGCAGACCCAGGGCCCCACCCGGCTGTGCCTGTCCCTGTCTGACTGTCACACCGTCGCGTCTGGGACCATCCTCAGTCCTGTCTGCTCCTGCCTTCTGCCCCCACCCCCACCCCAAGCCCGGATCTCAGTCCTTTGAGATGCCCCATTGGTTCTGGGGTTCTGGCTCCACCTCCACCCACTGAAGTCTGCCCTCTGTGCCCCTGCCCGAGTCTTTCACAGGCCCAGCCCACCCACTGCCTCCCACCTGAGTGGCACCCCTTTCCCCCACCCTCTCACAGGTGCTGTTCTGGGGCCTGCGGGACCTGAAGCGGGTAAACCTTGCCCAGGTAGACCGGCCACGGGTAGACATCGAGTGTGCAGGGAAAGGGGTGCAATCGTCCCTGATCCACAACTACAAGAAGAACCCCAACTTCAACACCCTGGTCAAGTGGTTTGAAGTGGTGAGCACAGGCCCAGGCAGAGCTGGGCAGAGTGGGTGTGGCCCATATGGCCCGGGAGGCCAGGTTCCTCTGTTCCTTCTGTGAGGCTCAGGCTCTATGCCACCGACACCCCCAGGACCTCCCAGAGAATGAGCTGCTGCACCCGCCCTTGAACATCCGCGTGGTGGACTGCCGGGCCTTTGGCCGCTACACCCTGGTGGGCTCCCACGCCGTCAGCTCCCTGCGCCGCTTCATCTACCGGCCCCCAGACCGCTCGGCCCCCAACTGGAACACCACGGGTACAGCCCCCCAGAGCCCTGGCCTGGCTCCACTCGCCCCCAGAAGGGCTCCAGTGCACGGCCCAGTGCAAGAAGCCCAGAGCTTCTCCTGGGGGCATCCTGTGGGGTTGTGGGGGGCAGCAGGGAGGTAGGCCCATCCTGTGAGCTGGGGTAGTCTGCCTTCATGTTGGAGCTAGTGAGGACCAACGTGGGAAAGGCCCTTGCAGGGCCTGAGGGCAGATAGCCTCCTCCACTGGGTGAAGGAGAAGCCCCAAGGCCTTCTGCCTCCCTCACAGTCCACCCTCTGTCCATTGTTTGGCCCTACAGTGGCTCACCCTGGCTCACTCTTTCCCTCCTTAGACCCACTTTGGCTCCCTCAACTGACTGTTCCCTCCCCTTCCTTTCCCTCCGAAAACCCCACAGTCAGCTTTGGGCCCCACTCTTTCCTGCCTCCCTGACTCACTGTTGTTCCCGCTCCTCCTCGCTCTGCCTGTCTGCCTGTCTGTCTGTCTCTCTGTCCAGTCAGGCTTCTCCGGGGCTGCCATGTGCTGTGCAATGGGGGTCTCTCCTCTCACCCCCCAGGGGAGGTCGTGGTGAGCATGGAGCCAGAGGTGCCTGTCAAGAAACTAGAGACCATGGTGAAGCTGGATGCGGTAAGGCGAAGGGTCAGCCCCACGCAGGCCAGGGAGCCAGGCTGGTCCACCCGAGAAAGCAGCACCAAGTCACTCCCCTTCAACAAAGCCCGATTACGCCCTCACACTGGCCTCCCGTGTGTGTGTGCACATGTGTGTGTGTGTGTGCGCGCGCGCGCACATGTGTGTGTGCATCGGTAGACAGTCTGTAGTCATTTTACTCCAGCAAATGACAATAGATTGCTTGGGAGAGGACCCAGGTCCTGTCCTTGGTTTTCTAGTCCTACCATTCCTGAGTGACACCCCACATGCCCGGAGCACTTTTTACTCCTCTGGGCTTTAGGTTTAGGGCTATTTATCTGCCAGGGTGAGACCTGTAGGAGGGGGCAGGCTGTGGCTATCCTGCTGCAGGTGCCCTGAGGTCCAGTCACCACTGAGGGTTGGAAGGGGGCCTCCTTTGCCCCCCAGAGGGACCAACCAGCAGGCGCAGTTGGTGTTGGCCATGTCTCTCAAGAAAGGGGAGCAGAGGCCTGGTGCTACAGCCCTGGGTGGCACCCCCAGAAATGTTCACTGCTTGGGCTATACCAGGAGATCCCAAGTGCCCCTTGGCCTCCTAAGCCACTGCCTGGCCAGCCTGTTCCTCCTCATTCCGTGCTGTCAGGCGCACAGACAGAGGATGGCTGGCTTGAGCTACCTTGGCATCCCACAAGCCTCGTGCTGGTGTGAGGCGGTCAGGCCAGCGGCCCGTTCCACCACCCCGTTCCACCACTCAGCTATGCTGCTCTGGTTTGATCACTCCGGAGCCGCCCGGCTCGGGGAGCATTCATGGAGGCCGGCCTCCGCTGGCCACCATTCCTGACCTCCTGTATGCTATGTCCCCCTTCCCTTCCTGACCTGCCTGCTCACGGAACTCACATGGGGCCTAAAACCGTGCCACACCCAGGGCCCTCTGGTGTACTCAGTGGTGCCCACACTGATCCTTGGTGAAGGGCCCTGGATGACTGTAACGTGCAGCCAGCCAGGGTGGAGAGCCATGGCCCCGGAAGGCCTGAGGGACCGTCAGAAGCTCTTAATGTGGGCCCTTGGCAGACTCACCAGGCAGTGTGCTATTGCTAATGCCACGTCAGCCTTGCAAATCGTGGGGCTCATGGCACCCAGAGAGCATCCATTCCTGCATGCCCTCCTCAGCTCCCATCTATTCTCCTCCACGCTCCCTGGGCTGGGCTATCCCGACAGCCCCCACTGGCTGACCCTGTCCTGTCTCCTTGGTTCCCCTCTGCAGACTTCTGATGCTGTTGTCAAGGTGGATGTGGTGAGTGTGAGGGCCATGCAAGGGTCCTGGGGTAAGAGAATCTACACTGGCATTGGGTATCATGCTAGAAAGCCTAACCGCAGGGATTGAACCATCCTTTGCCCCTGGGCACCGATCCTGCCTTGCCTAGCAGCTCAGGTTGGCAGGAGATGGCATCCTTCAGCTGTGCATGCCTTGGCTTGATTGTTACGGAGCTGCCCTGCTCAGGGAACATGGCATGGAGGCTGCCTCATTTGGCCAACATTCCTGACCTTCTGTATGCTATGACGCCCTCACAGGGCCTGGCATCTTCTCTCCAAAACAAGGCCCTCCCCCTTTCACATTGGTGGCCCCCTAGAACATTATGGAGCCCAGGGTTTTCCCAAACAACCAGAGTGGGTGGGGGTCCTCAGGATTGCCCAGGGTTCTGGGATAGGGCCCAGAACATAGGACCTGCAGGCCTGTAGACCCAGCCAACCCTCAGGCCGAGGAGGAGAAGGAGAAGAAGAAGAAGAAGAAAAAGGGTATCGCAGAAGAGCCTGAGGAAGAGGAGCCGGATGAGAGCATGCTGGACTGGTGGTCCAAGTACTTCGCCTCCATCGACAGCATGAAGGAGGTGAGGCCAGGCATGGCTGAGCCAGGGGACGGGCCAGAGCTGAGGAGGGGACAGCAGCTGCACACTTGTACCCTTCTCCGCAACTTCCTCCCCCCCCCTCCAAGCTGCTCCTCCTGGCCTCACACCGTGGAGGCTCCAGCTCAGGACTCACCTTTTCCAGGCTGGGGGTCCCATCTGCCTTGCCTGGTGTTTCCTCCTGTCCTTGTTTCCCCCACAAATGTGTCTGGAGTCTGTGAGAAGCCGGGCACTGCCGCAGGAGGCACTGTGGCCGCCCACAGCGAAGCTCCAAGCCCTGCCCTGGAGCCCCAGTCACTGGGCAAAATGGACATGTGGACAGTTATCTAGGGGACCATGGGACACTAGAGGCAGACTCAGGCCTCGGGAGTCAGGAGAACCTCTCCTCTTTTGACAGCAACTTCGCCAGCAAGAGACCTCAGGAGCTGACTTGGAAGAGAAGGAGGAGGCAGACAACACGGAGGGTAAGCCCTGCTCCAGACACTCTGCTGACCTCTCTGTCCCTCAGAGCCAGCTCCCCTACTGCCTCACTCTGCTCTGCCCGCCTGTCCCAGTGGCCCCCACGGCTGCAGAGCCTGGGCAGACGTCCAGGAGTCCTGGGGTGATAGCTGCAGAATATTAGCGCTGGAAGGGACCTCACAGCTCATCCCACCCAGCTTTTCCCCATGGAACAGTATTAGTGGCCATTCTGGGGAGAAAAGAGAGTTCTATGGTCAAATCAGTTCAGGGGGTGCTGGTCTCACTAGGTCTCTATGTTGCAGGACTTCTCAGAGCTTTTAGTATGCATGTATTAGTGTAAATCTCTTTGGAAATCTTTTTGGAAGATACTATATAAAATACTTCCTCAGCTTACTCCACCCCAGTACTCCCTCTGAAGCGTGCCCACAACACCTCTACCTGGCGTTCTGCTGGAGGCAGTTTGGGAAATGCTCACAGAGCAATCAGTGCTGTGGACAGACAGCATGCAGCTAGAAGGGAAAGTGAGCCGGCGCAGGCTGTCTGCTCCAGACCCGGGCTCTTCCCCACCCCACTTTCCCGAAGGACAGGACAACAGCCTCTACGCACACTCCCAGGCACGACTGTTGTCCGCATTTGGCAGTCGTGAGATGTGAGAAGTTAAACAGCAAAGTCAATGAGTGGTGAAGCGGGGTCTCCACCTCTCGCCTTCCCACTCTGACCCTTTCTGCCCACCTCCCGCAAAGCTGACTGGGGCCTCCTTTTCTGCTTCTGCCCAGGCCTGAAGGGGCCGATGAAGGGCAAGGAGAAGGCAAGGGCCACAAAGGAGGAGAAAAAGAAAAGAACCCAGAGCCCAGGCCCTGGCCAGGGGTCCGAGGCCTCTGAGAAGAAGAAACCCAAGATTGATGAGCTTAAGGTGAGGGTCTGGGGACAGACCCGGCCAGGGGATGGGTGGGAGGCAGGAGAAGGGCAGGACTGGCGATCAGACCCCAAGGTGACCTGGCGCGGCTCAGGTATACGCCAAGGAGCTGGAGTCTGAGTTTGACAACTTTGAGGACTGGCTGCACACGTTCAACCTGCTGCGGGGCAAGACAGGGGACGACGAGGACGGCTCCACTGAGGAGGAGCGCATCGTGGGCCGGTTCAAGGTCAGGAGAAGCAAGGCCCAGCCTCTGAGCCCCTTCCTTCCCCCACCCCAGCACTGCCCCAGCCACTGCCTCCAGATCCCTGGGCCTCCCCGTGAGCCAGCGGCAGCAGGGTTCAAACCCTGCGACAGCGGAGTCCAGACCTTCTGGCGCTGTTAGGGTTGGGGATGCCCTGCCGGCCTGTGCCCGGCCAGCCTGCACCCTGACATCCCCACCTCGCCCCAGGGCTCTCTCTGCGTCTACAAAGTGCCACTCCCAGAGGACATATCTCGGGAAGCCGGCTACGACCCCACCTTCGGCATGTTCCAGGGCATCCCAAGCAACGATCCCATCAACGTGCTGGTCCGAGTCTATGTGGTCCGGGTGAGATTCCCTCTGCATCTCCTCTCCGAAAGTCTCCCCTCCTGCCCAAGAGAGACTACAGTGGCCGCATACTGAGTCTCAGGCTGGGAGGCACCGAGGAGTCATCTGGTCCAGAGGAGAAAGTCAAGGCCCAGAAAGGGGCAGCAGCTCATCTAGGGCCCCGTAGCAATGTCGTGACTGGTCCAGTGCTCCTGCCCCAACCTTTCACCACCATGGGACCCTCGGGGAGAGGCCAGGGGCACTTGGGGGAACCTGCTCAGGCAGCACTGTCCCCGCCCCAGGCCACAGATCTGCACCCTGCAGACATCAATGGCAAAGCGGACCCCTACATTGCCATCCGGCTGGGCAAGACCGACATCCGAGACAAGGAGAACTACATCTCCAAGCAGCTCAACCCCATCTTCGGGAAGTAAGGCCTCTTGGCGCCCTGCCCTCCCCGCCCGACTTCCCAGCCAGTCCACTTCCTGCCCCACCCCGGCCTGACAGCCTAACTCCTCCTTGCGAGGTCCTTCGACATCGAGGCCTCCTTCCCCATGGAGTCCATGCTGACGGTGGCAGTGTATGACTGGGATCTGGTGGGCACAGACGACCTCATCGGGGAAACCAGGATTGACCTGGAGAACCGCTTCTACAGCAAACACCGCGCCACCTGTGGCATCGCACAGACCTACTCCATGTGAGGGGGCCGGGACCCAGTGCTGGGGGGAGGGTCTGGCTGACGCACTCCAGTGACCCTAGGACAAGATTGAGAGATGACAGTTTGGGGGTGTAGACATATGGTTTCTGTCCTGGGCCAGGCCTCTGCTCCTACACACACAGAGCAGTAGTCTGGGGCAGGGGGCAGGAGAGAGAGGGTCTCCTGGGAGTCTGAGCCAACCTCTGCCACTTGCAGGCTGTGTGACCCTGGTCAAGTCCTTTGACCTCTCTGTTACTGGTTTCCTCATGGGAACATACTGTGAATGACTGGGAGATGCTGAACATGTGTGCCACAGCTGAGGTGGAGGGGCCAGCTTCCCCAGCCTCAGGCTCACAGCCCACCCGCGGACACACGGCGATAGTTTTAGAGAACTGGTGAGAACCATCTGCCACCCGCAGATGGTCTGGCCCCCACTGGAGCCACTCGAGCTGTGTGTTGCTCCCACAGACATGGCTACAATATCTGGAGGGACCCCATGAAGCCCAGCCAGATCCTGACCCGCCTCTGCAAAGAGGGCAAAGTGGACGGGCCCCACTTTGGGCCCTCTGGGAGAGTGAAGGTGGCCAACCGCGTCTTCACTGGGCCCTCGGAGATCGAGGACGAGAACGGTAAGAGGCGCTGGCCAAGCCAGCCAAGCCCTCTGCAGGGATTCAGAGGCTGGGAAGGCCTACAGGTGCCTCAAGGCTGGGCCTGGGCCTGGACTTGGAGACCCTGTGCCTCTCACCCCAGAGCCCCCACCTGTCTGTCCTTCACCCCATCTTTGCCTTCTCCCTCCCCCTTCATCCCTGAAGGGCAGATGAGTTACCCCATTTTGCAGATGAGCGAACAGACCCAGTGAGTACAGTGACTTGCTGAGGTCATGCGGCTCTAGAAACATCAGCACGGGTCCTTCTGGATCCGAACCCTGCACTCTCCCCATGAAGCACTTCCAGCAACGTAGAGGTGTCTGAGCTGGGGAGCTTGTGCCCACACCTTCCCGGGGGGAATTACACAGTATTCTCAGCTTGGCCTCCCAAACAGGGGAAGCCAAGGGCACAGACTTCTCTGGGCCTTGTAGGACACCTGAGACCTTTCTTGGGCAAGCCACTCCTCCTGTGCCTCAGTTTTCTCCGTGGTAAAATGGAGATGGGTGGACAGGTGATGGCCAGGGGTTTTGTCTCTGAGTCCCTGTTCTCAGCATAGGCCTCTTGGTTCTGGGGAATCCATGCGCATCCCTGATCCACTGGCATCACAGGTCAGAGGAAGCCCACAGACGAGCATGTGGCCCTGTCTGCCCTGAGGCACTGGGAGGACATCCCCCGAGCAGGCTGCCGCCTGGTGCCGGAACATGTAGAGACCAGGCCGCTTCTCAATCCCGACAAGCCAGGCATCGAGCAGGTGACACTTGCCTAGCTGGGATTCCTGGGTACTTGGGATCATGGATTCAAAACCTCGGTTCCACAGAGGCAGAAAAGGGCTTCACACCATTCCCTGTATTCCTGCCTCACTCCCCAAAGCCTGGCTGGCATCTTCCTGCCAAGGCCAACTTCCATGACAAGTGTCTTTCTTTGCTCTGAGTGACAGTTACATCAGCGAGTAGAGACCTGGGTTGTCGCCCTCAGAAGCTGTGATTGGCTATTGGTGATATCATAGAAATTTCTGGCATCCAAAGGTGGAAATTGATGACAATGGTTCTTGACAGAACATGGGTTGGAAAGATGGGAAGAGCTGTCTTTCCCGAACAGGGGGAGAAGTCGCTGGGACATGTCATACCTTTCTTTTCCTCAGGGCCGCCTGGAGCTGTGGGTGGACATGTTCCCCATGGATATGCCGGCCCCTGGGACACCTCTGGACATCTCTCCCCGGAAGCCCAAGAAGTGAGCTGCCTGGGGCCAGCACTGCTCCCTCCTACCCCGCCACACCCACAGCCTAGCCCAGTCCTTCCTGAGGGGGCACAGGCCCAGATGATCCTGCTCCTCACCATGCCCTGGGGTTCAGGTGTGGCCAGGCCTCCTGGGGGAGAAACAGATCAAACTGTGCGCTTTGGGGCCTGCCTGGCGAGTCCCCATTTGCAGAGGCAAGGGTACGCCTCCACTCTGCAGTCCGTGGGGGATGTGAGCCACACCTCAGCACAGAGAGGCATGCACATGTAGACGTCCTCCTGCTCCCACGCTCCTACGCATCACCGCACAAAGCGCTCTCCAGGGCACCCACACGTGCACACAGCAGGGATGGACCCTGGAAGGCCTACTCCCCAGCCCTGGCGTTAGGTTCTGCCAGGTTTTCTTCAAGTACCACGGATGACATAGGCAGGAGGAGGTGGGGTGGGAAGAGCTCTGCATCAGCAGCCAAATTCCCAGCCTCCCCTGGTTGACCCTGACTTTGCCTTCTTGGTTCTCAGCTTTCCTCTCCACAAGGTGGCAAGATGGATTCCCTGCAGGCTATCTGATCCCCTCCCACCCAGTGCCTGGATTCAAGGCCAGCTTCCTGGGCATATGAACCATCTAGGACCCATGCTCAGAGGATCTAATTCTTGTTTCATGCCCTGGCACTCCCATTCTGAATTTCTTGATGATATTTTAACCTACGTGGACCTACATTTCACTTTGTACTGGCTGGGGAAAATTGCCAGGTCCCTTCTACCAGAGCTATCTGCTGTTCCTGGTCTTTCCACAAGGGGGCAACCCAATCCCACGGCTCATTCTGGCCTGCACTCAGGGTCAGTTCTCTAATTCCGCAGAGCTACATCCCCACCCATGTTCATGGACCACACGACCTCACTCTTACCCGACTTGCAGTTAAATTAAATTAAATCTCAGGGGAAATCCTCTTTGGGGACAAGGACCTGAAGTAAACCAGAATCCACATATTTTCATAGCAGGCTCCTGGCCTTAAAGTATAAATAAAATGGAAGCAAAGTTCCGGCCTCGGGAGTCTGAGCCCTGCTCTGGCCAGGCCTCAGCCCTGCTCTCCCTGGCCTTGGCTTCTCTGCTCAGGAGCATGCTCGGACCTCTGCTCCTGCCTGGCCAGCTCTCCCAGAGTAGGGGCAATGTGCTTGGCCGATGGCCTGGCTCATCCAGGAACCATGGGGACAAAGCTTCCCCGTGGCTGCCACCTGCTCTCCCGACCTCATGCCAACCTCAAGTCCTGGCTTCTCATCTCCAGCCCACGCCTGTCATTGCCCTGGGACCCTGGGAAAAACCCCACTCCGAGGTACTAATTGGTTCTCCTGGCCCTGCCAGGTATGAGCTACGCGTCATCGTGTGGAACACAGACGAGGTGGTCCTGGAGGACGACGACTTCTTCACTGGGGAGAAGTCCAGCGACATTTTTGTACGAGGGTGGGTGAGAGTTCCCTGTCTGGCAAGCCCACCTTCCCCGAGAGAGGAGAGGAGGCTGGGGCAGGAAAGGTTGCCTGGTGTACGCCCCGTGGTCTGGAGGGTGTGGCATCCGGCAGGTGGTTGAAGGGCCAGCAGGAGGACAAACAGGACACGGATGTGCATTACCACTCCCTCACCGGGGAGGGCAACTTCAACTGGCGCTACCTGTTCCCCTTCGACTACCTGGCGGCCGAAGAGAGGATCGTCATCTCCAAGAAGGAGTCCATGTTCTCCTGGGATGAGACAGAGTACAAAATCCCCGCGCGGCTCACCCTGCAGATCTGGGATGCTGACCACTTCTCTGCCGACGACTTCTTGGGTGCAGAGTGGGGCAGGGGCTGGGGTCCAGAATGGAGGGGCAGGACAGGGTGGGGCAGGGCGAGCTCACTTGGAGATGCAGGGTGTCAGCCCAACCTAGTCCATCAGACAGAGAGACGCAAGGGGAATCCCGCCTCCAGGAGCCCCCTAGCCATGTCATAACTGAGGCTGACAGGGTGCTTTGGAAACCCAAAGGAGGACGGATCAGCTATAGTTTCTCAGGAGACTTCCCTTCCCAAGCCTCAGATTGCTCCCGTGTAAAACATACCCCTCCCAAACTCTCATCTTTATCCGAAAATCTGTGAGACAAGCAGGACTTTGACAGAGTAGAGCCAGCTGGGGTAGGGGGTGCAGATTCCAGGGAGGAAGGGCAGGGTGGAGGAGAAAGAGGCAGGAGGGTGCTGGACGGTCCACTCTCAGCCAGTAAGGCACCAGGGAGGCCAGGGACCCCGCCACTGCCACATCGCCCCAGGGCTGACTCTGGGGTCGCAATAGGGGCCATCGAGCTGGACCTGAACCGATTTCCACGGGGTGCAAAGACAGCCAAGCAGTGCACCATGGAGATGGCCACTGGGGAGGTGGACGTGCCTCTGGTTTCCATCTTCAAGCAGAAGCGCGTCAAAGGCTGGTGGCCCTTGCTGGCCCGAAATGAGAATGACGAGTTTGAGCTCACGGTGAGCACTCCTGCTCAGGAGTGGGCGCGGCTGGGCCAGGCTGGGGTGTCAAGGGCCTGGCACCTGGCCCGGCCACTGGGACCTTTTATCCTCCTCTTCAGGGCAAGGTGGAAGCTGAGCTGCACTTACTAACGGCAGAGGAGGCGGAGAAGAACCCAGTGGGCCTCGCCCGTAATGAACCTGACCCCCTAGAGAAACCCAAGTGAGTGCTGAGCCTGCCTGGACCCCCAGCCATGTGGCTCTTGAGGGCAGAACAGGAAGGAGGGGCTTCCTTTCCCCACCCCCAGGCACCCCCTCTGTCCCTTTTCTGGGCCACAGCCTCACTACAAGGGAGCCTCCTCCTCCATCCCTGAATCCTGTCACCTCCCTCTCTGCTAAAGAACCAGCCATCTGAACAGGGACACAGGAAAGGCCCAGCCAGCAGAGGATACAGGGGCTTCCTAGTTTTTGCCAAAGGCAAGCAGCTCCCTGGCAGCACTAGGGCTCAGCCAGCCTTGAGAGCCTGGAGGCACCTGAACTGCACATGCTCAGCCCTCACCATCCTGGCCCCCAACCCCTGCCCTTTCTCTGTGCTCCTTCTACTCCTCCCAATGCTTCAGCCGGCCAGACACAAGCTTCATCTGGTTCTTGAACCCTCTCAAGTCTGCCCGCTACTTCCTGTGGCACACCTACCGCTGGCTGCTCCTCAAGTTGCTGCTGCTCCTGCTGCTGCTCCTCCTGTTCGCCCTCTTTCTCTACTCTGTGCCTGGCTACCTGGCCAAGAAGATCATCGGGGCCTGAGTTCCACTGCTGCGGGGTCTGGTACTTCGCCCTCCTGCCTCTGGACCATATAGGCCAGCTGTCATGTGGAACACACACGCACACATACACACACAGGAGCACACATGGGAGCCACATGTGCACATAAGCATGTGCACGCACATACATGCACACACACACAAGCCGATGCAAACATACACCGCAACTTTCACGCTCTCAAAACAGAAGCACAGACCCTCAGATCAGGAACTGGTTACTTTACATTTTTACATATTGGCCAGAGGGGTGACGTAGCTTACCCAAGGTCACCCAGGCAGAGTGAGATAGAGTAGGGGCCCCAGCCTCCTCTCCCAGCCACATTACTCTCCAACTCTAATCCAGTTTTGTTAGAAGGAAGTCGAGATATGAACAGGGAAAGGGGCAAGGGTGTGGCTGGGATCCGCCAAGACGACCTGAAATCATTCCTCCCCTGAGAGGCCTCCTGTGGAGAGCTGGCTCTTGTCCCGAGGGACAGATAAGAACCCCAGCCCATGCATATTGCCTCACTGATACTGAACTCATGCAGCCCAGCTCCTCTGGGCACTGGGGGAGGGCAGTAGTTGGAAAAAGCATATTCAGTACTTTATTTTTATACGTGGCTGTCTTATGAAACCTGTTTGCATGACACAAAGCAGAGAGTAAGGCTCTCGGCTGGGAAGCTGTGTAGATAGTAGAGCAGGTCCATAACCTGATGGTGGCAGAGCAGTGAGAGCTACTGCCTCCCAGAGCAGCCTAGACCCTCAGCAGAGCCTGGTGGGGACAGAAGTCTTCATCAGAAAGGGAAAGATGCAGCACTGACCTCCTGATGTCCTAACATGGGGCAACGCTGACCTATCAAAAATGCAGGGGCTCTCAGGCCATCAGAATGGCCTGCTGTGCTGGGCAGTGAACCACCAGGCACTGCACATATTCAGGTTGAGGCTGTGCAGCTGCCTCCTGCCAAAAGTACCATCCAGGCCTTGAGGAGATGGGGCACCAGAGACCCACAGGGAGGACAGGTCTTTATGGGGAGCAAATCTGCTGTTTAGAAATAGGCTCAATCCAGGCTCCAGCCTCACCGCCTCGGCGGCTGAGGCTGTAACAGGGCGCCTTGGGGACTGGAAGACCAGAAGGTGGGTACCCGTGGGGGCAGCTTGTGACCAGCACCTCCCCTCCTCTCCACTCCCCAGCCGGCCCGACACCGCCTTCGTCTGGTTCCTCAACCCACTCAAATCCATCAAGTACCTCATCTGCACCCGGTACAAGTGGCTCATCATCAAGATCGTGCTGGCCTTGCTGGGGCTGCTCATGCTGGCCCTGTTCCTCTACAGCCTTCCCGGCTACATGGTCAAGAAGCTCATAGGGGCGTGAAGGCTCCCCACCTCCCTCCAGCACCTCTCCAGGGCCTGCTGCACTTGCTCTCCCTGTGGCCTGGACTCTTTCCCAACTGCCCTGAGAGCCCGAGGAGCCCCACATCCACCTTCAGCCTTGGGTCGGTAGCTCCTCCTGCCTCTTGGGCTGCCATCCCAGACTGCTGCCTGCCCAGTCCTGCCCTTGTGATCTTGCCTATGGGCTGGGGAGCGTGGGAAGGGGTGGGGACCTGGATCTGAGCCCCTTTCCTCCACACCTTGCTGAGGTTCCACCCTCCTGCAAGCCCTGTTCCAGAGGAAGCTGCCCTGGCCTTCCCCTCCGGCTTCCTAGGCTAGGAACAAAGCTTTAATGAAATTAACCAAGGCACAAAGGCTAGTGTCCAGGGCTGTGAAAGAATAAACAAGCAAAAGTCATCTCCACCCCATCTGCAGTGGAGTCTTGAGAGCAGAGTCCACGCCACCAGTCAGCTCTGCAGCACCGAGCCAGCACCGACCACAGCCCTGTGGGCAGCCAGCTGCTCTGCCCGCACTGCTCCCCTTCCTCCTTCCCAGCAGCCACCTGCTGGCAGGTGCATAGCTCAGTCCTGGGCCTGCCCATAGGTTTTGGCTGCTTCCCAGGGCATCCTCTGCCTGGGTGAGTGCCCAGAAGCCCAGACAGACCCCCAAGAATGAATCCTGAGCTCCACTGGCTCCACTGTCACAGCAGGACCTTGCACCTAGAGGGCTGTCCCCTGCCTGCATCTGGGTTCCTATTGGCTGTTTTTCCTTGCTTGAGTGTGATTTTTTTTTTTCTCTTAATAAAATAAATCAAGCACTGGGCTGACAAGTCTGCATTGGTCCTGTGAGAGGAAAGTTGCTGGTGTGGGGTGCAGGGTCAGCAGGTGCTCTTGGTTGGTAAACTTTCCCTTGTGGGTGGCCCAGAGTTCAAGGTGCACCTCCAGCACAGGGTCACCTGCTCAGGCTACCTGTGGGGGAAGCATCCCCAGAGCCCAGAGGGAACTTCTGGGTTCACGCAGGGGCCCCAAAAGCACTGAAAAAATCCTTCAGAGCTGGGGACAATCTGGAGGCTGAAGACTACAGAGGCCAGAGCTCCAGCCTCCAACCACAGCAACCAGCTGCTTGCAGAAACAAGAAAGGAGCCCGGAGCCGCTGGCCTCCGCCTCTGTCACACACCACAGTCTCAGCCTGGCACAAGTCCTCTTGGGGTACACAGGTAGGGGCAGGGGCTCCTGTTTCACCAGACCTGGCCTCTTGAAAGAAACTCTACCACTGGTTTCAAAAGACTTTAATGGGAGCTACAGGAGGCAGTCAGCTCCTCTTGTCGCTGTCCTTCGACAGGCCTATGAGGAGAGCTCCGGAAAACCCGGGGTGGGCCCTGGTCCCCAGCCCCAGCATCAGCTCATACACATGAGCCTCAGCGGGTCCACCTCTATTTGGTGGGTACTCGGAACACCTGCGTCGGAGGAACTTGCAGTTTAGAGTTTATCTGGAAAAGAAAGTGTGAAGGTCACTTCCTGTCCCCTGGCCCTCTTCCTCTTGTCCTCCAGCGGGGGGTGTCAGTGCATATGCAGCTCTCCCACAGTTTCTAAACCCCTGCCAACATTTCCTCTCCAAAGCCAAAGCACATGCAAGGGCCTGGAAGCTGCCTTCCTTCTGATGCCAACCACCGCTCTCTGTGTGGCTTGGGCTCCAGGGAGCAGTCCCACCCACCCCCCCTTAAGCCTCTCCCCTCCTCAGTCCATTGCTTTCTGACTCCTGCTGCCCGTTTCCCCTCCTCCCCATCCCCTTGTACACAGCGGCGTCTGTGGAAGTTAAGACCATGTGGTCCACCAATGTCTGAGCCCTATTGCAGGCCAAGAGGCCAACATAATGCCGACTCTCACCCCAACCACCGTTCATGTGTAGCCTGAGACCTGGGACCTGGCCATGGCCACACATGGTGCTGGCCTCGGCCACCTCACCCATGTGCAGCTGGTATCTATTTCATGCATGCTGTCCCCAGCCATGGGCTCAACATGTGTGCAGGGTCCCGTACCAGCTGAGGAGAGCACACAGCTGTCACGGAAGGACTTGCCTTCTTCTTCCTGCCTGACCGAGGGGAAACTGCCACAACTACTGCTGGAGGAAGCACCAGTGGGGGCCAAGGTGTATGTGCGCTGCACAGGGGCGACCCCGGTCACATCACAGGCCAAGGAAGCCGGCTATTGGCCAGAAAGCACCCAGGGCCCTGGATGCCTCACCAAGTCTCTGAGTTTTGTTTCTCCTTTTCATGAAATAGGGAGAACAGTTCCTGCCTCTCCCCCAAGCCGTGGCTGTTCAGATCAAGAAGAAAATAAACCTGGGGACTCCATCAGCTTTGGCACTGCTTTAAAAACAGTGGTCCCAATAGGGGGTGGGACCAAAAGCATGGGCATCAAAGGGACATGGCCACAGCCCAGCTGCATTGGAGGGAAGTTCAGGCATCACTGACCACCACTGCCTTGCCAGTAATTGCCCCACCTGAGGTGAGACCGTTGATTTTGCATCCCACCTCCACCCGCCCGGAAGGGGCTCCTCTGCTGCCCGCAGTTGCAACCCCGTGCGCCCTGCTGCCTACCTTGGAGTGAAGATACTGCTGCAGGAGAGACTGCAGTTCGGCATTCTGCTGCTCCAGGGACTCATTTTCCACCAGCAGCTTGGCCCGCTGGGTCAGGACAAGGCTTTGGGTGGGAGAACGGGTTAGAGGCCAGCTGAACCCAACAACCACCAAGTAGGGGCCAGGACCTCTGAGCTTTTGCTCTGGCTGGTGGAGGAGGACCCTGGAAGCCTCACCTTTCCCCTAGGCCAGCAGCTACAGGATGAGGAAGCACTGTCCACCCACCCAACAAGACAGCTTCTGCCCCCAAAACTGCACAGGATGGGGAAGTGAAAAACAGAGCACCTGGCTGCTTTCTCCGTGACACACACTCACTGGTATCTCTCCAGGGCTGTGTAGAGCGTGTCCCACAAGCTCTGCTTGGCAGCGGGGATAACCGTGGTCAGGGCCTCCCAGTACTCGGAGTCCTTTGAGTCATCTCGCATATCCTTTCCCACTTTTAGTGGTGCCCCAAAGTCCCTGAAGGGCAAGAGCACTAGTGTCATGCTCTCCACCTGATACCCCAAGTCCGCAAACAGTGCCAGTCTCGGTGCTTCACGTCAGTCAGAGACCAACTACCTCTCCACCTGCCAAATTCCCACTCAGCTCTCCAAGGCTGTTTATTAGATTATGGCAGATGCTTAGAAAGCTTGCCTTTATTGTGTATGTTCCTCTCAGGCCCTTTATCACCTTTGTAACACCTCGTAGGAGTTTCATCCACAACCCTGTCCCCATCAGCTGACCTTGGTGGCTCACTGTCACTTCCCTTTCTTTCCTGAGTATATTCAAAGTAGCTGTGGAATTGTCACCTTTTTTCCACCCCTTCTAGGACATCCTTGACCCTCCCACCTTGACAAGCCTCCTGCTTGTTCTCTCTGTGGCCAGCATCACTCCCCACCATGCCTTCAAAGGGATTCTT